TAAATTCTTTCCGGACGCAAAATTTAACCCTAAATTCCGGACATGTCCGGAATTTTCCGGACGGTATGGCAACTCTAATGTATGTATGTATATTTATTTGCCTCAATGAAAATGTAAAAACAAGAGAGCTACGCCCAAATATATGGACACGTCTGTTCGCAGTACAGTACGGTTTACCGTACCGTCAGATCACAGTCTACAAATATATTCACACCAAGCGAAGCAGTACAGTAGGACACAAAATGGCCTCCGATACCCGCAGAACGTTTAATGATGTCATAGCAAACAAAAAAAAATCTCACAGAGCTAACAGAAATATTTAAAATGAATAAAAGTAATAGCCTTCTGGGGAAAAATTTTATCTTCAACCACTGAAAATTTCAAAGCAATTGGTCCAGTATTCGAAGAGAAAAGCGTTTTTTCAATATTTCCACTAGGTGTGTTATTCTGTGTCAAACAAAAAGAACAACATAATATTGAAACGATCGTTATGTCCACTACGTGTCCAATAACAACAAAATTTTGAAAATATCGTTATGTCCACTAAACGTGTGCAAAAATGTAACAGTATCTGCATAATAATCAGTATATATAACAGATACGTGATACGTGTTCAGGACCTTACTGTAGCTGGCCTAAGAAACAGATGTGCCATGTGCGACATGCACCCTTAACAAATATAAATGCAGTTTAGGATTGCTGCGTTGCAGACTTGCAGTATGATAACAGATACGAAATATATCGTCACGCTAATAACCAAATTGCGTAAGTCATTTTTAGCAGTTTTGAGAAAAACGTAAAAAACTTCCTAATGATATTGATATGCCATTGAGAGTCAATAATTTGCCATGGTTCAATTTTTTAATCGTAGCCGGATTTAAGATAATTTGTATGACGCAGTTATGTGACGTCATAATGGCGCACTGTGACTTACGCAGAAAGGTGTCTATGACTTGGGGACATACGCAATTTTGTAACCTGACTATGTACACCAGTCCTGAAAACCAAACAATCCAATAACGAATGTAATTCTCAGTATCTACGATGTCTAATCCCCAAAATAGCTATCTGTTTCAATTACATTATTTTTTATGTTTAAAAATAGATATTTCATCAATATAACACGCTCTGCACACCCACCGAAAGAGGAGTCAGAATAAATATAAAGAACAAAACAGCAATGTACCCTTATATAAAAGCCAATCCGGTACCACCGATATTTCATTATGACGAAACAATTGCACAAATGTGCATGTCATACAAAATCCCATTTTTATGGGTTTTGGAATTTTTAAAACAAATTCCGAGTTAACAGACGGTTGCGCAGCATTACATAAATACCTATTTTATAAAAAAAAAAACTCAAAACCGCCAAAAATGACTTATTAGCCTGACGATATATAAAAAAAAGTTTTGTCTAGTACAGGGGTGGCCAACCAGTCATTCAGCAAGAGTTGCATTTCGTACTTTATTACCGCGAAGAGCCGCATTATAAACAAGAACGCACATTAACATCAGCTATGCTATACGATACCTTTATTTGGCTCTGCTAATTCTTTTCTCATCTTCTATGCACCCTCATCAAAGCACCCTTTGTATCTGAAAAATAATGTCTTAAGAGTAGAATGTCCTTGATGCACTAAGACAGGGTCGTCCAACCTTTTTGGCCGAAGGACCACATGCACTTTACTAATAAGTGCGCGGGCCATTTAACATGGTAGTTATGTTTTAGGTTTGCTACACTGAAAGCAACAATACCATCACGTCAAACTTTGACGATTATTGGAACAATAAAACTGTTGTTTCCTAGCCATTGATGGGGCGCCATCATTGGTTATTTCCGAAAATTTGGCCAAAGAAAAGCCAAGACGCTTAATCGTTTTCATCACAGCTGCAACAAATCAATGCCCGTAGTCGTGCCCATAATTGGGACAATGGCTGCGGGCTCTTCGCTAATTTTCAAAATCATCATTAACTCCTCGCATGACGAGCAGTAGACTTGATGTCAGCGCTTCCGTCAGGCGTCAAGGAATACGATGAAAACGTACCCGCTTTTGCAATTAAAGTGTCCGCTATTGAATTCCCAAGCTCTTCGAAACGACGAAATCGTCTATCTTGACAGGCTTATTCTTGCAAACGCCTCTTTTATTTCCGGACATTAAACATTGGTAACCCGAACAATACATTGCTGAACAAATTCTCAATGTGAGAACGACTTCGATTGTTTTGCGAATATTTCTTCCACAAAGTAGCTCGCTTTTATGTATGTATCATGGATTTTATGTATGTACGTAGCGACTACGGCAGCTTTATATATCGATATCTCCTCCCAGTTGGTTTCGATTCAAAATGGCACTCATGGCTCGTTTGAAAGGGCTGGCAGAGCGCATTTCAGAAAAATAAACAACTAGTTTGTTCACATCTTTTCATACTAAATCGCTCGAATAATATTTATACCCAATTTTTTTTTATTCAATTCCGAAATATACAGCGCGGGCCACTCGAAATGCTTCAGCGGGCCACGGGTTGGACGACCCTGCACTAAGGCTAATAAATTAGCTAAAGTTGGAGTCCGAAGTTGGGGTCTGAATTCGAACGTCGTTTTCAAGATTTTAATAGGCCTACTGCTAGGCAATGAGTTCCACAATTTCGGCCTGAAAATTTGATGGAATATTGTCCTGTTGACATTTTAAAATACGGAACAAAAAAATTACTGTGACTTCTGCTATTATTATACGCGAATACTCTGTCAAAGCAGCTAGGGAGTTGATCAGTAGAAGATAAAACATCACAATACAAGTACGTTCATACAGTGAATTATCCCCCCCCCCCCCCCCCCCCCCTAACATTTCAAACACCCCCCTAATTCCCAGGTTCGACACCATACTTTAATTCTTAACGTAAATAAAATTGTATTCAAATATCCTGAAAGTGGCTCCTATTTCGGTATAGATAATCAGTCAAATACATAGCATTTTTTTTACAAGTTTTATACAAATAGTTTTATCACTAATAACAAAATATCTACCCCCCCCCCCCCTCTCTAAACTAAAAAGCTGGGAAACATACTGCGTTCATAAGAAATGAATGAGCATGATACGAAAGGAATAACTTAACCGTCGTAGTAGTATATACTTACGACTTATCAGTTATTCTCAGCTATACCTTATCGTGACCAAACTAGACACTTGATTCCCAATATGTTTAATCGGGATTTTGCTGTCTCAAGATAAATATCTTGATTCTTGAAACATTAATGTATAGTAGAATGTCAAACTACTTTGAACCCAACAAATGTTTCACATTCGCATCAATTCGGTTTCCGCAAGCAACACTCCACTGTTATGGCTGCTAATGTTTTGGTACACAAACTAACCAAGGAGTTTGAAGGCAAACAACATGCAATTGGAATATTCCTTGATATTTCAAAAGCTTTTGACACCATTGACGATTCCATCCTTTTAAGCAAGCTCTATCACTATGGAATTAGAGGCGTTCCATTCAATTGGATCAGGAGCTACCTGCAAGACAGAAAACAAATTGTGCAATTATGACAATTCATCCTCTTTCCAGTGCAACGGTACGACTTAACCGGAATACCGGTAGGTGATCGCCACTAATACCGTCTAGTAATACTGTAATAATTAGTTCAGAAGATCCAATGTGCTGCAAAGACACACAAATAGGTTCGAAGTTCACGATGCAAACAAAGAGACTTTATTAAAATAGTGTAAAATCCACGCTTAAAGCAGATAAAATAAGTGCGACAAAATACGGTCCTTACCCAGCGACAGCAGAAGCAAGAAGAGCGAACGCTGCGAACTCCAGCCAGTTCACATATGCAGTGGTGGTTGGAGTCGAGTAACTGAAACCAACTGTCGGGCGAATTAGGGCTCATACTCCACACACCAATGCATATGCAATAACCAGACAAGAAATATAAATAAAATAATAAACAATAAAAAATAGTACAACTCCAGTCCCGCCACACCAGTTCTCCAAGCATTCTCTCACGTTGCCTAATTCGTCTATCCACCTGAACCCCCCAGGCTGTGCATTTTGTTTTTGCATTTTCTACGGCAGCTTGGCTCAAATCATCACGAAGCTTAACAAATTCTTGCTTCAAAGATTCAATATCAGTTGCAGCTTCCTTAAATATCATCGTAGGATCCTGTAAGCGCTTCTGTACACGATCAATTTTTCCCAGAACGGTTTTCCAGAATTGTAATGAAACTAGAAAATTAAACTTCAATTCATAGTTTAGTCTATAGCTACTAACCCCCAAATGTAACCCATTTCATGTTGAAAATATCAAAACAAAGTTAATTTTTCCCAAAATTCGAACAAAGACTTTCGTAGGAATCAAATTACACCAGTTTTAAGAACATAACATGTTCCACCCAGTCATTATCAAATTGAAATTTATATTCACAAGACCTTTGGCACTGATTGAAATAATTATATCTAAGTTCCCATCCGTACGATGTACATAATTACCCTATTGAGATAATAGGAGTTCTGTTTATAACGTGAATCACGAGCTCACGTTTACAGTATTTAATTAGATTTATCATCGACGTATAAATACGACTCCGATATCTTTCGATAGGGAAGACGATGTAAACCATTCAAAGCTAGTGTGGATAAATGTTATAATATTTATATTCTGTGTATCGTGGAAATCTGGGAATAAAAACAAACAGAGTTTTCTAAAGTTTCCTCATTCACGTGGGCGTTGAAGTTGAAGGGTGAACGGGTGACTTGCAAGTCAGAGACAATCTACGAAATAGCAATATACGGTAACATCATATTCATTTACCAATTATATATGCTATAAATGGTGATCCCGACGTGATCTGAACACGCAATCTCTGATAATTTTTCTAGGAGTTGTACCAGTTCAGCCAGCCCTTCAAAAATAGCTTTAACAGCTTCTAATCGTGCACTCCAGCATGTTGCAGACTCTCGTTTTACTGTTATAGGAAGAACTCGTTTTTTAACTCTTCCCAACGAATTGTTGAATGAGAGAAAAACGATTATATATTTTCAAGTGTCCCAAAAAATGTGATGACAACTGGATCTTGCTTAGATGAGTGTACTCCTGCTAAATTTAAGCTGTGGTTGTCACAGATGACAAACAGTGCTTTATTATTTCTGTCACATATTCGTTGTTGAAGGCCAGAAATATGCCCTGCCATAACAGCAGCATTGTCATAACATTGAGCTCGACAGTCGGCGTAAGATATGGCGTCAGACTTTAGTCTCTCGACGATGACTTTCTCTAGGCTTGCTGCATCTTTTGAATGTATCTCGATATAACCTGAAAATGATTCTTTGATAGTTACTTGTTTAGTTTGAAAATTAACATCCACAAATCTTATGATCTGAGACAGCTGTTCCAGATGTCCTAAATCAGGAGTTGCGTCAAGTAAGATGCCGTAGTATTTGCTCTTCCTTATATCCCGCAGCAATTTGCTCTTTACAGTTGATGCAAGTATGTGGATAAATTCATTCTGAATATCGGGTGACAAATAGGAAACTGATCCCGGATTCTGTTCAGCATGTTGGACGTGTTTTGCCAGTACTGGATCAAATTGAGAAATGAGTTTGATCAGCGCGAGAAAGTTCCCAACATTTTTATCATTTCTGGGATTCAAGTTTTCCTCATGACCACGTAGTGCCAAATTTTGTGAAACTAAAAATATTTGAATTTGAAGCGAGTTTGAAGGCGATGATGTAAATAGTAGACAACAGAAACAGTAAGCGGCTTTATTGACTGGTGAATACAACAGCCATGAACGATTTACCTCCTCTCCATTCGCTAATCGACGTTTAAACCATGCCGATGTAATCGAACGTTCTCCATATAATGATGGTAGATTGTCTGTGTGCTGAAAAAGTATGGGCCCGAGAGTAATCAGTTCATCGCGAAAAGATTGTGGTATTGTCGGTAACTTTGTCACTTCGTCGAATTCTAAGTAACCAACATCGTGAAACTTTAGTACATCAGAAACCACATCCGATTGCACATCGTGATGAGTATTATTATTTGCAGCTTTTCTGCCAGAAATGTTATCTTCCCCCTTACTTTCAACAGGTTCGTCACTATGTTGGGTCTCTCGGTCTTCAGTGTTTTCGGAGTTTCTTTCTGCACATACAGAAATATCTGTTTGAATAATGTTTTTCTCCGAGACCGCAATGTTTTCAACATTAGCGTCGACATCATGCTCTAAAACAGATAGTTGATAGCCGCCATCTTCCGATTCTGAAGAACTGGTGTTTGCAGCTTCAACTTCTTTCTTGGCTTTCTTTAAAAAGCAGCAAGTAATACACTTGATTTTTTGAATGCTATTTCGGCTTCCTCTTTTCTTTTGCGGTTTTGAGCTCCACTACTTTTTCTTCCTGACATAGGTTCAACAAATCAAATATAAAATATATTTTATTAGATATATATGACTGAGTGCACTAAACTGAACTGAAATGCTGAAACAAAATTTAAATTTTGCAGGTCCGTGGTAGGGGAATTGCGGGTAAACTCTGGATTGGGCAATTGAGTACTGTACCGGTACGTGGTAGCCTAATGTTGAGGTGACACCGATGCATCTGTTGCGATGCCGTTGCAAGTTGTGGTCATTGTAAATATTAGGCCCAGGGCCAAGGTTTCCTCTAAGGTGCGCCATTGCGCTGTGCCACCAGACCATTTGCGCAGTAAAATATCATTCTCGCGCACTGGCAACAATACGTGTTTATAGCGTGGCTCTGACTCATACTTTCTAACTTCTAGATAAAATGTCTGTTCTTTATTTTACGTGTAATTTGCTTGCCACTGTTCATTGTAATGTCACATACGTGTTTGTTACGAAAGTCTTTATTTTTTGGTTTTATGCACTTTTATTCAATAACATGTACATTTGCCAGTAACCCTAGCCTCCCCCGCGCAGGGGGGCAAAACGGTATTTATAAATAAATACAAATATGAATTTAACCTTAACAAAAATTAAATTGAATATGTAAAGAATAACAATTCAATATAAAGAATGAGTACGGCTTATCTAACTGAGCCAGCCCCCCTCAAAGAATATAGGAAAGAAAATCGTAAGCAAAAATAACAAATATAAAGTAGTGGCGAGGGGCTGGCAGACTCGGCGATGGGTTCTAAACATGGAAAAATCCAACTGAATTATAATTACCGCTCGCCTTTTCCTATCAACCGTGGTGAAATTTGGAATCAATAATATTGAAAAGTTTGAAAAATTATCAGATAAAAAAGAAGGAAACGAACGAACCAATAAACCGTGGAAAAGTTCGCAATAACTGCAAAAAAAATTGGGATAACTAAGGCAAGCGGTATACACTAATATATATATATATGGCATGTAAGTTGGCCAAAGCCCATCGCCGAGCGTGAGTTTGTGGAGGCAAGTGGTGGGGAAAAGGTGCAATACAAACAAGATAATCCGAGCAAATGGCTCGAGGAAGGGCTCAAACTACCTCGAGAAACTACTAGTGGGAATCAAAAGGGTTAATGGGACAATGAAACACACACGCAAGCTCGCAATCACACAAATACAAAATAAAGAGAAGAAGATAATAAAAGAGTGTCAGAAAAGAGGGTGCAGTAAGATTAGCCGACACTGTCAGGAAATCCGCACCAGGCCCTCCATACGCGATGGGATCCTCGAATGACGCTCCTAACGCAGTTACGGGAGACCGCCGCAGCACCACCTCCGGTCACACCCAAAGCACAAAGAGCAGTCTGGTTTTCCAACGGCATAACTGCCGAGAGAACCAACCACAAACGTGTCTGTTACGTCCAAGTACATTGATTACTCTGGAATCATTTGGAACGGACTATTATTAGCCGATCCTACAATGCCAGTGCTGGCCGGTGTCGCATTTCAAGGAGCTTTTTGAGTTAAATGTGTACTTTGTTTGCATTCTAATGATATATTATTGTAACATTTCACATAGTTTGTAAATCTTTTAGAACTCTGCTCAGCCTTAAAATATTCATGCGCAGTAAAGCAATCATTTGCGCAGTAATATTTTCTTAGAGGGAACACTGCCCAGGGCTCAGTAAACCACACTTTTTACGAATGCCGTTGCCAGGCGGGAGCTGAACAATCCCTTGTCACCAAAAGTTAGGTTATTACTTATCGATTTAGGTATTTGTCTTTCTGTGTGTTTGTCTGTCTGTCTGTTAGATGCACGCGATATCTCACGAAGGCGTGGTTGAATCTGCTCCAAATTTTGCATGTACATTCATCATAGCTCGGACCAGAAGCCTATTGATTTTGGATGAATTATGTCGTATAATTAGCGAGTTAGTAATTAATTAGTGATGGGACACAAGGTGTCACTATGGAGTGAGAGCGCTGTTATGGGAATCCCCTAACTTTCGATCGATAAGTCTTCGGTCCCTGACCGATATTCTCGGTTTATAATTTGTCGAAAACGGCATTGGGGTCTTTTAGATCATTATAATATATTTTATGTAAGTCTGACGCAAAGTACGGTACACTGACAACCACGAAATACAAAACCACGTATTACTCAAAACATGTATTACCACTGGTAATACTAATACCAGCACTTCGCTGTTTAACATTATTCAACCAAATTCCGTTGCCTTTTGTCTCCAGCACAGAACTAATATCAACTTACATCGGAGTGTGCAGGCAAGAACTTAACGATACAGAACCACGTAATTAACTCCGAGCATTTTGTTACCTAACGTTACCAAATCAATTTTTGCTTTGTTTCCCGGCCAGATTTTTTGGCCATCTAATTACGATGGAAATCTGACCGTGCGCGAGCTATGTGCCTGATGACGTCGGCAGTCGACGTAGGTGATCTGACCAAGTGTGCAGTTGGCCATGCACTAAGACTAGATGTCTGCCGCCGGTGCAATCTTGCTTGTGACCGTTTTTTCACCCTTGTTGTGAAAATTTTGCAAGCCCCATTTTGGCGCCCCTGTTCCTTCCTTGGCGCCTGGGGACATATGTACCCCATTGCCCCCAGAGGCTACGCCTCTGGCATGAACTTTGTTCTCTATTTGGGTGGTTTGATTCTTTGTGAGGGTTGTAGACGGTATAATTTAACTCCTGTACCTAATAGGCCTATTGTAATTAAGTGACCAGTCGATGTATACTTGGATTCTCCCCTACATTTTGACTTGCTGTAGTACTATATGCTGTGTCCTGCGCGTATGTTAGTCGTTGGTCCTGCGTGTATAAAAAGATTTTATCCTTGGTCGAATTTATGCTGTGTAGAGCATGCAAATGTGTAATAGTTAGTGTGATGTTAATGACTAAGATAATGGCCAACATAATTAATATTAATCAGTATTCACACAATTCAACAACTTCCACTCAAAAGTGTAGGGTAGTTTTCTATTGATTCCTTATTTGCACTCTTTATCAGGTCTTTCAACTAGCAGTATAATGATATTTAATTAATATTAATCAGTGTTCACACAATTCAACAATTTTCACTCAAAAGTGTAGGGTAGTGTTCTATTGATTCCTATTTGCAATCATTGAATAGTGTACTCCCAGATATGTTTTTCGTTTTTCAGGACGTCATGATGATCAATTTACATGCTAGCTATGTCAACAGGAAAGGTGTATACATTATCAAAAACTTGCAGACTGATGAATCATTCGTGATGAATATGAACTCACCGCAGTAATCAACAACCTCAATTAAATTTACTTGCCTATAATCCATGATCTTATAAACCGTACTTGAACCTTTAACACCCTATATATTCCCTTAACCAATTTTGCTACTTCTGTATCCTACCGCCCTAATTAATTTATATGAAGATTATGATTACTGTTAATGATTAATAGTATTTAAAATAATTTGGACGTTATCTGGCTTGTTGTGGCTTTTATTTGATGAGTGAAGCAGGTCTAGCTAACCTCTTCATACATCCAACTTGGCAATTCTGATTGGGCAATTTGGCATTAGGTGACTCCAATTATAATCAGCTTGACGATATCTTTTGAGGAATACTTTTCTATCCACAGTACATTACTCTTGTTGACTAATTCGGTATCCAATTTGGCAATCCTCATAAAATTATTAATTTGGTGTGGCAAAAAAATTTATTCATTTTTTTTCCAGTTTCATGTCTCGATGATTGTGTGTGTGTGTGCGTGCGTGCCTTAATTAGTTTTTTTTTTTTACTTTTGGGTGAGCGAACACGTACTACTTCTTTTATCAATACCTTTCCATCTAAAATCTGTACGTTTCAAACCTTACTCGAGGTTTTGTTCGCTCTGCCGATTCTATAATCAGTCATTTTTGTTTTTACTTATTATTTTATCGTCTATTGATTATGGAGTCGAAATAAACTTATTATTATTATATGGAGATATTGTTGTCAATATTTTTCTATTTGGTATTGAAATGGGCCACCGCGAAAGTCAATCGGCTCCAGTCGATGCTATGAATCTGTAGCTATTTCACCACTCCGACCTGTCGTCTACTGGGTTGGCCGAGTGGTTAAGGCGTTGGACTTAAGTTCCAATGGACAGATGTCCGCGTGGGTTCGAACCCCACACCCAGTACTCTTTGTTGATGTTTCTTTTTGCACTGCCTGTGTGAACTGAACGGTAGGATTTTGTTATTCATCACTTCAATCGATTACAATACGATGACTTTTCAGAGGTTTTGCAAGCTTTCACAAAGGCTGATTCTGACGAATAATGCGAGGTACTTTGGATCAAGCGCCAACAAAATTATTGTGGAAATTGACAACAAAACAGGTTTGATGATTTCAGTTAAGCAAAATTTTACATATACCGAATAAGTACCGGTACCAGTAGCCTACACCAGACTTGAGATCCATTACCGGTACCGTACATATAGACATAGGTGGTTTCCGTAGTTGTGCAGTTGTATTACATTATTCAGCTATTTGTAGTTTATTTTATTAGCTTCCTCTTGGAAAGAAAAATATTAGTTTTGGAAGTTGAACATCACTACGGTACTGCCAGGCTGTACCGCGATATATTTCAAAATCTGTGAACACATGATTATACTGTTATACCAAATGCCAATTGTTAGCATGTTGAATGAGTGAATGCTGGAATTTTGTTTCCTTCATTTGACCTCAATGCTAGTGTTTTTGGATAGAAAACTAAGCTCATTTTCTCAGGTGTCGCTAATATGATTATTTTACAAATCACACTGCATTATAACATGCATGATGCGATAAGAGTAGATTACCATTTATTTTACTTGGTATATATAGTAAACTTATTAGTTTATTATTAATTTTATACTTATTTTCTATGCTACAAAGTACATCTAGTGTGTTGTCATATTTTTGTTACATTTCATCTTATCTGAGTTTTTTCAACTTCTGAACTTGTAGGTATTGCTTCAATGTTACTGAATAACCCACCTGTTAACAGTCTCAGTTCTGATTTTCTTGTAACTGCAACAAAAGTGATAAAAGATGCTGAAGAAAATCCTGATGTTCGAGGTATATTGCTCACCTCAAAGCTGGATGGCCAGATGTTCAGTGGTGGATTGAATATTCTGGATTTGTATCAGAAGTGTGTTTTCTATTGTATTGTATTTTTAAATTTGAAACTTGTATCATTGAACAGAATGTAACTGTGAACAATTTTCATCAACTTCTTGATTTGTCCATTCTGCCATTGGAATGCTCCTTATACACTACAAATTTTAGTACTGTTACTGATGAAACTATCTATAATAGGATGGTTGAATTCACTATATTATAAATTATCTTAAACTTTAGAATTTATCAAAACCATAATTTGGTTGTTTATAGATATAAAAACTGAAAAAGGACACCCAGAGTAATACTCTATATAAATATGAGTTTTAAACTCATGTATATATATATATATATTTATGTATAATGTATTCCTTTATTACTATCTACTTTTTTCCAATTGTTTATTCATCTTAAAGACATCTTAAAATGTAATTCGGTAGATATATAATATAAATGAATGTGTTAACATTTTAATAAGGTCTCACCAACAATTGTTTGATTTTTGGACCCTCGTCCAAAATTGGACTCTTGCTTGGTATGGGTGTAAGAAACCAACTGTTGCTGCAATCAATGGACATGCTATCGCAGGAGGTTGTGCCTGGTGTCTGATGTGTGATTATCGCATAATGCAGTCTGGTAAGTACGATACCATTAACATTTTTCCTTGATGTTATAAAAGGATGAACATTGGACATTTTATCCTCTGCTTAGGGAATAAGACAATAAGTGAATTTTATTTCTTTATTAATGCTTTGAAGCATCGACTTTAATGATGGTACTTTTAAATAGAAAATGAAACTCATTTTCCCTAGCATCAAGATGATATGAATATGGCCACGTTTCACACTGTATATTACAATGCATCATGCAGCTACATGTCCATTTACAGATTGAATTTAATATTATAACCCTCCAGGATTCATTACATACAGGTGCAGGAAACACAATCGGATTCAATGAAACTAAAATTGGAATGGTGGTGCCTCCTTCTATTGTGGATTTAGTCATTACTACTATTGGACCCAGAAATTCAGAATTAGTATTGTTTCCGGGAACCTTAATGTCAGCAGAAGATGCCCTGAAACTAGGTACTGGTGTATCAATATATTTCCATGGATGAATAGCTCGATTTTAGATCTACTACATTGTTGTGGTTTTAATGTTTTTTACAGGGATGGTTGATGACTTAGACACACAGGAAAAGCTAATTCCAAAAGCCTCAAAACACCTGGAGCTCCTAGTTGACACTCTACCTGATACATATCATTCCACTAAACAGTTGGTGAGAAAGGTAAATTCTTTTATTTCACTTACATTCACATTTATGTGTATTTGTAATCCTGTGAGGGATAAATATGTGTGAGAGGAATATGCCACGATGAGTTTATGTAACATCTGTTACTGCTTTCTGCATCATATAAGACCATGCAGCTGAAGAATTAATTAGTGGTTAGGCTTACATGTAATTGACAAAAATCAATTCCGTAATTACGACCAAATCGATTACGTAATGACCCCGTAATTGCGATATTTTTTTACACATTTAAACCTATCATAACAACCAATTGAATCCACTTCATTTTCGATTGGGACATCGAGTTTGGGTTTTCATATTCCTGGCAGTACTACACGCCGGCGACAGATGTGAAGACAAGAGTGAATTCAAATTAATTTTATTCTGATTTTTATATTTTGTTCTAGCTTTGATTTCCTTTATCACCTTCGCAAATTAACCGTCCCAATTTTATGCGATCAATTTTATCATTACCGACACTGGTATACGGATATTTATGAAACGATAGTTGACTTTTTTAAAATCGTTTAAAAAAAAGTCGGGTTTCCAATTTATCAATGCCAAGACGAGCGTATTCTCTCGTTTGATTATACTTGCGCTTGCCTCGCGACGAAGACTCGTTATTGCACCGTTTTTAACATTATCCGACTTTACTACCTAGTCAGCATTTTATAATAATTATTGATGCCGACTTATTGACGTTATTCCGATTACCATGCTTCATTTACATTAAATCATTTCGCGGCCTGAATGTTGTAACATTATTTGCAACAAATTTAGATCAAATATTAATTATTTGCGCACAATTCAAATACCGTACTTATATGACATGGCTTTTCCGAAAATACAAAGTTATATCGCAAAAAAATGCATATTGTGACATTTATTTTGCACTCACGGAAAAATTTATTTTAAAAACTTATTTTTCTAACTCAAGTCGACGATCCTATCGGCCAAGATTGACACAAATTTGGTCGAGCGTCGGTGGTATTCAAGAATCAAAATAAGTTGCCGCATTTGGTAAAGACAGTTAATCATATTTGGCCGAAATATTGCGAGGCATTGTGGAAAATATATTGATCAAGGACAAGTCCGGACTGATATAAAACGATAAAACCGGTAACAAAACATCAAGGTTTTGTAATTGAAAATGGTTCTCGCACAGAATAAACACACTGGCTCATACTTGATATTTGATAGTAGTTAAATTGAGAATATTGAACTGGTAAAAACAAAAAAACGATCGTCGAAATTCTTAAATCTCGTTGCCTTGGGTAAATATAATCCAACGATCAGGACATTTTCAATTAAATACTGCACAAAGATAGTTATACATTAAACATTTAGGCTACAATTTAGCTTTTTTTTAAATTTCAATCATGCGTTGGTTGTGGTGGAGAAATCCCACTATTTAAATACGGGTAATTATAAAAATAGAATAGGATTCTGGATTCGATTTAAGTATTCTAAAACAGTGGTTCCCAACCGCCGGTTTGCGAACCGTCAACGGTCCGCAAAGGATTTTTACCGGATCGCGGGAAATCCCGTCATATTGTTGTTTCTCTGCCTTCTCAATCGCTTTACCGATGCCGAAAAGACGAAGTTGCGTTGGTTCATTACGCAATTTCTCTTCCGTCGTCATATTGCTGTTTGATAAGCGCGACATTAATTATCACGGTGACGTATTGGCAAGAGAGAGAAAAGTGAGAAAAACGGCTGCAAATACCGAAGCTCTAACTTCTTCTACTTTTTAAACTTTCACTTTCACAAAAGTTCAATAATACACATAGGCCTATATTATAATAGACTCTTATAAATATAATATATAAGTTTACTTAGGAATATAAGATTCATTATGATTTGTTCTATCGTATTATTGAGCACCTGGATGAATCAGACTGAAAATTTATTGTGACAGGGTGTGATAGAGCGTTTAACATCATCGAAGAAGCAAGAGGCTGAATGGGTGGCAACTTTTGCATCACAAGCTCACTTCCAAGAATTTATTGGAAATTATGTTGCCAAGCTGAAGGCGAGAAAGAAGAAGTAATTAAACTAGAAATTGTTGAAAGGAATGTACTATGTGCAATAATTCATATACCGGTATTTAACTTCTGCAAATCAGTGTTTCGAATATAAATAAAGTCTAGACTAGATGTCTCTCGTATGTAATTTTTTCGTATTTTATTTCTTTGGTTGGGCGGTTTGCAACTGTCAACTAATAATTATGCACAATTCTTTATAATTTTCTAATAAATATAACATTGATTGTGTCAACCAAAGCTGATTTAAATGAGATTAGTTTTGGTGATCATGGACTCCACCAGTGAAAATTTCCGCGAAATGATTTTTCGGAATGGGTATTTTCCAGAACGTTTTTCAAATGTACGTGGGTTCAAGTGTAACGGAACCTGTAAAACATTAACGAAATGATGTTTGCTCATGCTTATTTCGACCTGATTATATCTTTACCCAAGCAGATATACTGAATATCTAAGCGCGGCAGCTGATCAGAGCAACTATATGGTAGCAGCAGGGGGATATTCGAACCAATCGTCTGCAGCCAGACGCTATTTGAGTCTAAAAATAGTAGACATAGGCTACCTTGAGAGTTTGAGCCCGTTTATTAAAGTGAGTGCTGATTCCATCTCTGATCGAAACGTTGTCAGTAGGGCTGGGCATATCGAATAGTGAATTATTCGAATCGGTTCAGAGCAAAGCCATATTTTTTCAGCGCAATACTGACATATGACTATTTTCTGTAGTGATGTATTGATAAAACGTGTTTCTTATTGTGTGTGAACACTCAGCAATCCGTCTGAGAGATGTATTCTATGTTTTTAGTAATTCATTTGTTGACAGGACCAATTACACTAAAAAGTCGCATACAATTAAATATATATATTCCAAGTATATATTTGAGATTTGATTCGAAAAAAAAATTTCGATCCGATTCTGAAATTATCAGGTATATATTCGAAAATGCCCAGCCCTAATAATTAGCCACGCTAATAACAAAATTGCGCAAGTCATTTTTATTGATTTTGAGTAAAATATAAAAAACTTCCCGAAGATATTGCTATTAATCGTAGTCGGATTTAAATTTATTTGTATGATGCAGGTATGTGGCTTCATTTAATATGATCTAGCTTTCTTTATGAAGTTCGGAAAGTTTAGGTTAAAACTGCCAAGCGCCACAATCCTCAATCACCCACTTGTCGGCAATATAACCTACATTTGACTTGGTGTAATTTTACAAAACGTTCAAACTATGTACAGGAAAATTTATACCTTGATTTCTTTTAATTCCAAAAGTGCTCAAGAGATTTGTCGTTCAGGCCAATATGAAATTAAAGAGGCCACCTCCTCAATTTTTGGGCTAATACCGTGTTCAGTTTGAAAATAGTAAGAATAACTCAGTTCAGGAATTTGACAATATAGGCTTCTAAACCAGGGTAAAATCATGCCTCCATCTCTATGAAAAATTGGAAATGCCGTATAATCAGTACATTAGCTATATTTCGCCTCAAAATAGGTCAACCAGTCCCTTCAAAAACATATATATATAATTCTTTAAAACATTAACGATGTAAGTAGAGAACTTTTTCATACAGCTGTTCTCTTATTGGTGAATTATAGTTTTCAACTTGGGATTAAAATGCTTACATAATTGCAATAGTAAATACTGAATAAGTTTATTCGATTAATCATGATTTACCATTATAATTTTTTATGGCTTAGGTCGAAGGCGTTTTCAAAAGGATAGTAGCCTACGTTATGTTGCGGAAAACAACACGTCTTTTGGAAAACAGGTTATCACATCAGTTCTCACGTACTTTTAGCCTCGCAAGTGGCAATCTGGTGGAACAAAATTTTCGTATTGAACCATGCCAAAGTGAAAAACTAACCGACATCGGAACCAGGAGGATTTTCAGTGATGACCATGATATATTCCGTCGGTCTGTGCGAAGATTTTTTAACGAAAATATAATTCCATATAACGATAAATGGATGAAAGCTGGGGAGGTTGATCGTGATTGCTGGTTAAAAGCAGGCGAGGCTGGTATATTAGGCGTTTCTATACCAGCAGACAAAGGTGGAATTGGAGGCGATTGGTTGTCCAGTGTCATCGTCGAAGAGGAGCAATTCTACTCAAACTGCCCTGACCCTGGATACACCGTGCATTCTGACGTAATGATGCCATATATAGCTAAACATGGTACGAAGGAACAAATTGAAAAATATATCTCTGACTTGACCGCCGGGAGAAAAATAGGAGCCATTGCTATGACCGAACCCGGCGCTGGGAGTGACCTCCAAGGTATTCGGACATATGCGAAACGAGAAGGAGATGAATGGATTATAAATGGAAGCAAAACATACATAAGTAATGGATGGCTCTGCGACGTTGTTGTACTCGTAGCCTCCACAAAAACAGAGGGAAAATCTGCGGCTCATGGCATAACTCTTTTTGTAATAGATAGTAGTACCCCTGGCTTCACAAAAGGTCAAAAGTTGAAAAAAATAGGACTCGAAGGACAGGATACCTCCGAATTATTTTTTGAGGATTGTAGAGTACCTTACAGCGCTGTCCTTGGAGGGGAAGCTGGGATAAATAAAGGTTTTTACATTATGATGCAAGAATTGCCACAAGAACGATTACTAGTCGCAAATATGTCGATGTCTACAAGTGAGTTTATGTTTGAAGCGACGCGTGATTACGTTAAGCAGAGAAAGGCATTCGGCAGGCGCATTGCCGACTTGCAAACAATACAACACAAATTGGCGGGTCTAAAGACAGAAATCGCCGTTACACGTGCGTTTATAGATCGGTGCAACGAGCTTCACAACGAAAGGAAATTGGATAATTCCACGGCATCAATGGCAAAGTACTGGGCATCCGATAGGGCAAACGCACAAGCATATGATTTTGTTCAAATGTTCGGGGGAAACGGTTACATGTGCGAATATCCTATTTCAAAGGCCTATGTTGACGTCCGTGCCCACTCAATATATGGTGGTACAAATGAAATCATGAAAGAACTTATTGCGAGGCAAATTGTAAAAAAATGAGAAAAGGCGCAACTTTCTTCTTCGTATAGTTTATGTTACTGTGATCAACGACTTTGCGCAATAACACTGCATATATATATCTGTGTATTCAAATTTGATTTATTATGCTAATTTAGAGTAATAAAATGCCTTTATGAAAATATCTCTATGGTCGTCTTTATTAACTAGTGAAATTGTTCTGTATCTATTATAATACCTTATTTGTTTCTATCAATAATTGTCCATATTCTTAGCTTCAGCACTTCGGGGGCATGGCATACTGAAAACAGCGTGCCACAGAAGTTGTTTCTCGGACCCTTGACCCCAGAAAAAATGTTTCGAGACTTGGCACCTACAAATTGGTTTACATGTTCAAATATATATACATTTAACCACCTACCTTTCAAAAGTACGTATAACTAATTTCAGCCCAGTCTATTACGGCTTTTATTCATTAATTTTTGATCACTGCAATAAAAATGAAGCTCCTCGGAAGAAAAAATAATTGTTGAGTTATTAGAGCTACATTTAACTTTCTGATATACAATTAAAAACTGAACCACAAAAACGAGCTAATGTTTAAATCCACGCCCGAAAATTAGCACATAAAATTTGAATTGTTACGTCATCTTTGTTGCTTAGCCAATGTTACGGAGGTAACCAGGAAGTCGATGTTTGGGGAAATATTCATAGCAAAGGTGAGGTAAAGATGTAAGACTCATTGGCTACGTAAACTTCGAGGACTTAAGTTATATAGAAAAGTAGTTTTTGCCCTAAAAACCTTTACGTCGGTGTTTATTCTCCTTAAATGACAAGTTTTATAAGTATGCCTTGTGCCACGACAACGATGGTATTTTTTTTCTGTACATAATTGTGAATCTAGTGAGAAATATTATACATTAATCTGCGGCGAGATGAGACAAATAAAGAAGTGAATTCCGGGACGCACATCTTTTGATTGAAAAGCGGCAATATAAAATACTAAAAATAAAACCGAAAACAATATATTTTTTTTTGTAGGAGGCCGGCGACAGATTAAAAACGATTCTTTAGGCAATGTATATCGCAAAATTTTTGTGCCTAATGAACACATTATGTTTGAAACCATACCGACACTGAAATCGAAGCATAGTCAATTGTGCGCGTGATTTATCTTGTTATCCATTCCTTTAAATTCCCGTCGAAAATATTCAATCAAATTTTATCGTACTGGAATAAATTTCGTTCCGTGGGATGTTATAGCCGACTTAGGGACTTTTCTAGCTGTAATATCTCAAAAATAATCCGAGTTGCCGCATTTTGATAGAGCGGCGTCAGTGTTGCAGCTCAGAATTTTCGAATTTGCAAAATGGCAATAATTTGGATCAAAACAAGACGAAATCGAACAGTTTACCACATATTTTTCTGTCCGCGGATTGTCGTGGTATTTTAGGATAGTGATGCTTTTATTTTGTCGCCACAATCGCCGGTTAAAATTAAGACAAATAAATTAATGAAGCAAGACATTTTTGATATGCCCGTATCCGTCATGGATTGATTACTTTGCAATTTCGAGCCGATAAATATATATATTCTTGATATATATACTTTATATGTAATTTTATTGTAATAAATTGTACTCTATGGGATTTTACATCAGATATTGGGAATTTTCTAACAGCTATAACGAATTCGCAAGATCGCCAAATTACGTATCAAAACTAAATAATAGCAGGCAGTTTCATATTTTTATGTCCACAGATTGCCTGGTATTTCAGCGAAGTAATGTTATTATTTTATCGTAAGAAGACGCAACCGCAAGTTACGTTGAACACAATTCAATTAAAATAGAAAGACATTTCATATTCTCGTAGTTGTTATGGATTGTACGCTGAAAACTGCGACTCTTTTAACGAGCGCGCGTAGTCGCGGCGAGTGTTTCAAAAGAGAATGTGAATTTCCGATTTTGACCCCTTTTAAAAATCCTGACTGCGCGCCTGATTGACTTATGGCTAACTTTTTTGAAAGTTCATCGCCACCATTCCCGGATATACCGCATCTCGCGAAACCTCACCATATTATCGGACTGCTGCTACAAATTACAAAACTTAAAAGTGATCTGGTTTCACAATGCCCTTACAAAGGGTAACGGTACAGAGACTGTCATAGCTTTTCCAGGTCCTGTGGCGATAATTCATACTTCATGATCCAACGTGAATTAAAATATCAACTTATCCGAGTCACTTCTGTATTACCAGATCAGTTACCGCAGTCTACCGTTTCCCCAAAAAAAATTCCCCACTTTCGCTAAGCACGAGATTCACCAACTTTCGCTGAGCACGAGATCCGCTGATATGCGTTCTCGTAACCGCCGAGAGGTGCGATAATTTTGATGACGCCATAGCACACAAAAACTAATCCCATAGAGCTCACAGAAATAATTGAAATAAAAGTAATAGCTTTCTAGTAAAAAATACAATTTTTAACCACTCAAAATTTCAAAAAAGCTGGTCCAGTATTTGAAGAGAAAAGCCTATTTTTTTAATCCTATTCTTATACCGATAGAATAAAGAAGAATAAAGAACAAGATCAACATAGTTATAAAAACGACCCATAGGTCCACTCCGTGTCCAATAAGTAATACTGATCTTCATCAATGGAAGAAATATGAATATACCGAGTGAGAAATTGTTTGGAACAGCCTATAACCGTAAAGAGTCGAATTCACGTGACAACGGAAAAATATTTTGTGATAATGAAAACACAAAATCAGAAGAATTCTACGGGACTGTATGACAATCGGGATTGGTTATATTTTAGTGATATTACGCTACCTACGGCGTTTTTTGTCCAATTGAAAAGGCAGCTGTGTATTGGATCGAATTACTCTCTTCATTCTCGAGCCACCAATCGCCAAGGTAACTAGGGGAATAGTCTTTCATTACAAGACGTATCAAATAGTATGCGAGCGTAACGTTACATGTACTTAGATCGCGTAAGTCAGACAAACTTTATAAATCTTTCATTGCGTTACGTTGCGCTCTAATGTTATTGAGACGAGTCTCGGCGTGTTTGTGTATTTACAAAGTTTGTACACACTGCGGTTAGATAATTAGGTTTCGTGAGTTGTTTTTTTTTCGTTTCATACAGAGTGTTAAGTTGAGGTGTTGAATTACGTTCATGATCAGTATAAGCCTGGGCAGTGTTCGAAACCAGGAACTGCTTTTTAAATTACCGATAAAGCCTTGGTAAAAAACGAAAAGTAATATAGAGGATGTATGGAGGATATAATACTTCTGCAAACTGTAGAATAGAATGGATGGCAATGGATAAGTGACTGACTTTCCCATATATATTCGAAATAATTTTAGCATTTCTTTTAAATATCAGCCAGATGTATCTCGTATCCGACCGTTATTTGCAAAAATCCCCAACCTTGGTTAGATATAATACAATACTAAAAGTCTTCGTTACTCAATTATTAAAAAACCGCATCTCATATTCAAATTATAAATTTATCGATATACAATTTGGGCAATATTGACTCCTCAATTTTGAACGATATTGCCAATATTTCTATATAGCAACGAATAATTGAAAATAAATTGACGTAATAAAGAACTTAGAATAGTTCAGCAATTTCGGCATTTTTTAGTAAATTTTACTATTTAAGTTGAGTATTTATACGAAAAACCCATGTGTTTGATAAATGACGTCATCAATACTTTGTCTCGAAATGACAGTTAGGAACAGTACAAACATAACTATTCTTGTTTTTTATTGTTTAAGTACATTGTACAAACTTTGGTTACTCCAAGACTATGTGTAGGAAGAGACTAAATCACATTGTTCAAACTTTATTACTAGTAAATTATTGGCAGAAGTAATAGTGTTCCCTTTGCACTGATCAAATATGGAACAACATAATAAAATGTACGGTTCATTTTCTTCACTTTTTCCGGGGTGTGTTTAATAGGGCACACAGCATATTTTAATCAGGAATCTTGGGGCGTGGCATTTTATTAGACAAGTCTGTATTGCATAATGTCAGGGAACACCTTGTACCTATGGAAACTTGTCGGTTGCTATGGTGTTTTGGACTGGGCTTCAGGGCAGCTGCATCGTTATGCAGTTCTATCTGACGGCAGCCTGATTCATTTTGTGCAGTTATCAGTCAAGTCACTTGTCTCATAACAGTTAGTAAATTACATAATTTGAGTGTCGAGTTACAGCTTCTATTGAACAACCGCTTAAGTGTGCCCGCAGATAAACAAATACCTTTAAGAAGTGCTTCATTCTTCACGCTTCAGCTATACAAATGCTCCAATAACCATTAGTCGGAGTAGATGTGAGCGCGTACAAGAACAGCAACGTATTTTGTATTCGATATAAGTATTTAGTCAGAATACTAACATTACATAAGTAATATCATTTTTGATTTCCGCTCATGGTGATATTACGATTATTAATAAGCACTGATGATGTTGCAGGTATATTTTCGACAACAAGAAATCTCATGTCCATCGTTTTCTTTGTTCTCGAATCAATGTATCTTAATCGGCAGCAAAAAGACAGGTTTTGAAAATAGACGCTGGGTACTATTATAATATGAAGCAGTAATAGATTTTACAAATAGAATTCATTGACTTTTCAATAGATCAAAAAAGGAATTGCAATTTTAAGTATATTGCGTTGATGGTTGAAACCTGCCACCTCCATAAATAACAAGTCCAACTGTTTTCTATTCCAACTTTATTTTTATTTGATTAAGTCTAAGTGCAGAGCATTCATACTTTGATGATAAAAGTCTGAGTGAACTGACATTATATATATATTAAAGTAAAATAATATCACGGACACACCAATTCAGTTTGCTGGAAGGTTTTATTTAAGCGCGCTATATTCACATCGGTGGTATGATTTGGAATGGAATTTATATGGAAATATTTATCTATTCTACTGAAATCAGCAAAACTGCACTCGGAGAAAAAATTTCGAGCGTAGACTTTTGCAAAACTACCGTGGGCCTCTGCTTATTTGAGAAGAACTTCGCGTTTGAAAAAGTGAAATGATATTTTGAGGGAAACAGTTATACAAAGTTTTCAGCGTTAGAGTTATAATGGTATAGCACTAATTTTACTTTTTTGGGTCGGGTTACAGTGGGAACTTTTGAACTGAGATATTGAATGCTAGGTTTTCGAAATTAATTAAATACGGTAAGTCGTATTTCAGTTAAATTTATTTGAGGGAGGATTCGAACTTTTGAAATTACATTGCTACGATTTTTGCGCGAGAAATCCTGAATGGCATTCGTATAGTTACGCCACAACAATATTTCGTGACCTGAGATTCATGTTCGCTTTTGTTAGGTCGAAACACACATTATATTGGCTATTAACCGTGTGAGAGAGAACTATTGTTTTATCGTTTTAACTCAAATTATGTCAATTTGTTGTTGTGATTTTAATTTTCGTTCCGGTTGTTTTTATTGAGTCGTCCATGACTTATCTATAACATTCGGAAGATTCACACAATAACTGAATAAATCTGATTTTTTTTTGCTAAAATTATGTTTTCTCCGATAATCTGCAGCAGCTCGATGGCATGGCCAGGATTCAATTAGCCGCGGCTCGATGGATCTCTCGAGTTTTTACAAATAGTCAACTTAATTTTGCGTAAAACGCTTTAGCAAACATTCACATAAAGCGATCAGTACTGGGTTCTTAGATTTTAAAATCGATGTCGTTGGAACAAATAATGTGGGCATCGTAGGCCTTTTTCGCATTTCAACTGATCGTTCAAAAAATTCTTCTATAAACTCGTTCGTTGTGATACACTACGGCGCTATCCGATCGATACAGGTAGAATGTCTAAAGGCGCATTTACGAAAGACAAAATTATAGCGATTAAAGTTGTTCAGTAAAAGAAAGCGCATATCGATCACAGAAGTGAAATGTTTAACGTGAGAGATTGAAACCGTATACCCTGATTCGGGCTTGTGCTATAAAAGTATAACAAATCCGGATGCTCTTATGTGAATTAGTTTGAATCTGTTTGTTGATGGCAACCGACGAGATTTGATATTCTTGGTGATGTCAGTGACAAAAAGCAAAGGAATTCCATTGTGTCTAGGTCTATTGTTTGAGGTGAGACGTTCAGCAAAACGGCGGTGGTAGAATGTAGATGCTCCGATACGTTTCGTTTCATTCCTTTTATCCTTGGTACCGGGAGTATTATATGTAGAACCGATCAGTTGATATGGTATGCCGATTATGGTTATGTACGTCCTATCCATGGTCAACTAACGCGTACAACAACGCATAGGAATCTGAATATTGCCTTCTGAAGCACGTTTGGAAAAAGCTTAAGATCGTAATAGTCATGCTTAAAACTAGAACTATTATTAGATTCAAATTTCAATTTTTTAAATGTGAAGCGAAATACGTGAGGTAGCAAATAAACAATATAAACATATGTACTTTGTATGAACACCTTTGCAGAGTAAGATCTTACACTCGCACTCATGTGCAAATTTACGTGAAACTGTGAAAAAATGGAACACTCATGTTAAATGTATGGCAAGGGTGGAACAGTAACTATTATGCAGTATGTAGACATTGTTTGATGTTGTAACGCATTCGAGAAATACTGTATTATTCACTACTCTTCTGTACTGTCGCTGCCAATAAAGAGATGATGTTTTATTACACCCTATAGACAGCTTTTGAGTTAAATTCCGTGTCGCAATTTGATACGTGTTATATCGTCGATACTAGGTTTTAAACATAGTGAATAACATTTGGGCGACAATTGTTGATACACCTCGACTTGTGAAATATACGTATTGAATTTGCTTATGACAGCTTTTTACTAAACGATGGGAAGTTCAATTTTAACTCAACTTTTGGCCCCGAGACGCCATATCTCGCTTGCGGTTGGTTGCATTATTCAGCAGCATGTGGTGGAAGTGCTGAACGTCGCTGAACCTTGCCTAATTTGGTTATGCGGTCGGTCTTTTGTATTATTTAGTATACTACTAGTAATGTTATTATTCAGTTCGTAAAAATTAAACAAGGTTGCTTCAAATGGACACAACAATTTATTAAAAAGCTCCTCATGGTTTTGTTATTTTTTTAATCGTATTCTTTACCCAGTTCGTAAGTGGATAAAGTTACGGAACGGCGAGTCACACGCGATCATGTTTTACCTATAGTTGGAAAAGTACACTTTCGAGGTAATTACTTTTAAAGCTACGTAATTTCACATTAAGAGCATAGCAATGATATTTTGTCTGGTTGATCTTTACTAATATGTGTTTCATTCATAATATGATTCTTTCCTTTGCTTTTGTATACAGTTTATTCCCTGTAGCTTAATTATATTCGTAATTTTCCGTTGGATACTAATATCCGATCAACTATTCTTCCGGAATTATATTATATTGGTACTCTAGAAAATCGTACCCGTTACCGTACCAATTTGCTCAGTCTTGCAAAGTTATATCCAGACATTCACTATGGGTTGTGCGGGAAGTAAAGGCACATCAACTGTACCACAAAACACTGCCCCAGCAGGAAAAAATGGGACTGCCACTAAACCAAGCAAGAATGTAGAACCAGCGGCAGAACCAAAGCCAAAACCAGCGGAAGAAGGTAATGCGATGAGATGTCATCAAAATACAGTTTGCTCCTATTGAATATTTTGTTCAGTCCGTTTAATATCTGCTGGATGTGATGACCTTGTGGCCGAGGCGATCTGCTCTCATCGCGCCAGTAACTTTCTGTTGTAAAAATAGTTTGGTGTAGTGTAAAAAATGTTCGTTGCTTGCTGATTGCTTAATCTGTACGATGCGTTGCTATATGATTAGTGTTGTTGTTTGGCATGGATGTTTGGGTCGGGTCAAAGTGTGAGAAAATACCTCCAAAAATGTTAGGGTCATTTTTATCCGAGTTCAATATTAATATTCCTTGGGGGCTTCTTCCAGTTGTGTACCGATTGCTTTTTCTGTATTGAATATCTACCATCTTATTCTCGATATAAACCGAACAGTGCACAATCAGTCGGCATTATGGCTTAGAAGACGTTCCGTTTCAGCATAACATTTTGAATTTGAACCCATTTGCTTACTACATTTATGAAAACAAGTTCACTAACTCACATTTTATTTTCATTTAGCCGCAGCTTCCAAGCCTGAAGATCAAGCAAAACCGGAATCGTCAACGGGGGAGGTTGAAGCCCCGAAAGAAAGTGAGTGCTGTTTTACTTCTATATACGCGTACAATGCCAGCATTTTCTTAAAAATCTTAGAATTATAATAGTGATGGTAATCAAATAAATTAAAATAATAAATAGATAAGGATTACTATTATGTCAAAACGTAACACCGGCGTTAAAACTGAAATTTTGATTCCTGCCTTGCTAGATTCATTTTGAGTATGAATAAAAAATCGACAAACATTTGTAACAGTAGAAACTTTCAATGCATTTGTACAAATATGAGTATAATTGAGTGTAGTTTGTTTTTATTTCACCGCTATGTGCTTTTGAATGAGACTTTCAATACATAGGTAATATGTTGTGTATGAATATATTTAAAAATAGAGTGTCGATGTCTTTTGTATAATATTTCGTTTATCGATGCGTGGAAATAATGACATTGAACGTTACGGTATAATGAAATGTCATTAATTATTAAAAATGAAAAGAACTTAATGCGTAAAATTATACGCTCAAAAAGTGTTCCGTCATATTGACTAATTTTCTAATACTAGGAATGATAAGAACATTTTTATATTATTGTACTTGTAAGCTTCAGAAAATTCAGGAATATTATTGTGAGAAACAAATAAAATTGAATTTGAAATGAGCTTCAACACTTGGTATAGGTTTGTGCACATATTCCAACAAAATATAAAATAATGTTTAATGAGATGCATAATCAATATTCTACCGTGCATTATTGTACCAGGATAATGATTCTCTCGAACACACCATGAATAATTGAAACAAAATTTTGAAAACATTTCAACTCTTTATATTATTGCTATTATCAAATAAATGTCCCCATATGGTGTTATCATAAGTTAAATTTAGATATATTATAATTTTACATAAAATCCAATTAATAGTGAGATGTAATTATACGTTAATTAGACATACATATTCTCTGAATATCTCAGAAATAAATTGCGAGCCTGCTCATAATGTCACTGGTAATTAGCACTATTGAAGTCTCAGCATAGTAACAAGCATATGATGTGACAAAGTTTGCATCGAATTACACCGAGCTTCCTAACGCCTCGGCTAACGTGTTATTTTGTTCAATGATGACAATTAGGTCTACGTAGACCATGCTCTCTTCTAAATATTACTCTGATTGTATAATTCTCAATTGGAGACTTCATGCGCGGAATCACCCGCCTTCAAAATACTCTGATTTGAAGCGGCCATTTCAAATTTTCATCCTTGTTATTCCTATATGTACAAATAAATATATAACATAATATTGGCAAATATGTCTCGTCGCCTTGCGCAGCCTTAGATGGTTACCAAATTGGAAATCTCAAGGGACAATGCAGCTCATCTCCCAAGTGCATATACTCGTGACTTTAATTAAGACAATATCACTATAACAATGCAGAAATATTTCAGCGTACGTGTCATAATTCGGAAATAGAAGACCACATCAAATACCACTCACTTGGGCGTAACCAAGTTTTAAATTTTCGGTTTTGGCTGGCCTATTACGATTTTATTATCTGAGAAGAATAAAAACTCGAATTATTTGCTAACTCGTGTTCGCAGACATTTATTATGGCAACGGTCAATATTTATTGAAGATTAATCGGCTTCGTGAATCAAAAAGGCCACACACGTTGATCTAATGACACAACTTTGGCGGCGCGAGTCAGTATTCATACAATATTTTGCTTTATTAAGAGAGATTTTAAGTCGGATATGAAATTTACCGGCTTAATAGATACCAAATACACGTATCCGTATCAATCATGCCCGATGACTGTTGGATTTCTGTATATATGAAGTCTTTTCTCCCACAAGCGATACGAATAAGTTCTTGTTGATTGTTGGGAATGCTTGTCTACTAAATATTTTCGAGTACCGCAAGACTTCCTTAACAAACCCTATTGAAATATTGACAAAGGGATATCCAGACAATTCCAGAGTTGGGCAATATGTGGAATCGGGATTAAATTAGCATTTTCGAAGTCTAATAACTACTATTTTGTGTTTTATTTTACAATAAGATGTCGATTTTTTTTGTGAAAATAAGTTGAAGCCCTATTTATAAAAGCTTTTCTGTGATATTGGACAATAAATATTCATAATAACATGCTAACTTTTTGATACTTTTGCAAAAATATGCACAAAAATGGCAAAATATTGACGCCGGTGATTATAGTGAAACCTCGTCGAGACAGATATTAAATTGGCCCTTTTTCAGAAAATCAAAAAGGTAAAAGCCTAATGTTTCATTTTGGCGCAAAATTGATCCCAGGAAAACATGACTCTATAAAAATGTCAACAAGGCATTACATGTAGGGCGGCGTTTTGGCTTGTGGAAACTGACCAAAGGCTTTTATTTCGCGTGTACCAAACTACAGTATTCGTTAAACAGATACATTCCTCTCAAGGTGGAATGTCAGCTTCCACATACTCGCTAAAATGCGATAGCCAGCATTGATAGCAACCATCTACTCAGGAAATATGTCGCCAATAGTCGATATAACATTAACGTATCTAATTTATTTATCCTTGTACACTTTTAGACATCGCAAAAAAAAATATATATGGACACCTTTTTTGGATTTCGTTGTTTAACCACAATGTCTCATCACTCTCATACAATACGATCATTTCATTAGCTAAGATTTTTAATTCAAATTGTACTTTGAAAATGTAATTATATTGAGTATATTCAAACAACGTTCTTATTTACTTTATATTTACAAATAATATTGTGTTACTTTCAATAGGTGAACAGACTGCTACACAAGCACAAGGTGAGCCAATATTTACGATAATAATTTTACAGTGATAACTCAATATCTGATCACAATGGGTTTGGTTTTTTGACTGAATTCATTGCAAACATCAATGTAAAGTTACCATATATAATATTTAAAATTCAAATAAACGTTCTGCTTAAAGTTTTATGTTTATGTCTTCGTAACTGATCGATGACTTTCTGTATTTCTGTTAGAACCAGAGAAACCATCGGGTGAGTGTATTTTATTTTACGCAGTAGTGAATATAATTATGCAAAATACTTTAAATGATTTGAGAAAGTTGAACTTTTTTTTTACATTGAATTGGTTTGAAATGATTATAGCTGCTTCACTAATACCACAAATAAGTAGTTGTAGTTGTTTGAGTAGAAAAATCAGAACTCCTTAATTTAAGCAACCAAACTAATACGAATCTTTCGAGAAATATTTTTTTTTATTTAATATGCATGATGGCATATTATAAACGCAAAAGGAATCTTCAATTCATTTTGATATTTTCTATTTGACGAAAAATTTCTGTACTAGAAATGCATGCTCAATATAATTTTGCCTGGTACTATAGTAGTAATTGAACACAGAGTCGAGTCAAATCGAACGAAAATCCGAGCAACCGAAAAAAATGCAAACGCCACAGAAGGATGAAGAGTCTGTCGAGTCAGATCGCAGTAAAGGTGAAGACAATGTTCCAAAAACACTACTTGAGGATGCTCAAGAAATACTCACTAAATCCACCCCGGAAGCAGATACATTTATGCGCAATGATGAACCACAATCCGGAACAGATATAGAAATTAAAACTCAAGATTCACAAAGTACAGTCCATGATGCGGATGCTCTAGTTGATTCAGACGATTCTAAAAACAAGCAAAGGGCAGGTTATAACATTTTTTTTTATTATAGGCTAGAATATCGTTGTAGGATACAATTTACGCATTTCGGTAAATGTATATTAGAAAACAATCATATGCGGTTCAGAAATAGACAAAATCGAAAAATGGTGTCATGTGAAAAAGCAAGCAAACTGTCGGAATAAATCAACGAATGTCTTATAAACCACAGGACAATCCCGAGTGTTGTCTTTATGTTTATGCGTTCGACTACATATTAGGACAAAACAATATTTTAAATCTCAAACGTAGACCCACGTGCTTTGTGCCCTTGGAGGGAAGAATAGTAACTTATCTTCTTTGAAAATATCGGAAACATTTCTTTTCATTTGATATTTTCTGACACTTCTTCGCTATTCTTTGTAAAACTTAATTCTATTTTCTCTTTACAATTTTCTCTTTCTGGTCAACTGCAGACGCCCAGAAACGAGTGGATGTCCAAGCAGTGACGAATAATGTGGAAACAAAAGTTGAACAGGATATCAATGTGGCAGCAGGTTATTAACTTTATCTTTTAATAAAGCAAAATGCAACATATTTGAGTTACAATGAAACCAGAAAATCATTTTTCATTATGAAACAACAGAAAAACATTAAAATATACCTTAGAGTTATATATATATATATATTATGAAAATTCTAGTTGAGGAAATGTTAGAGGAAACAATAATTTCAAATGAGGAATCTTACACTCAGTGGCTCTCAGAGATCCAGGATGAAGCAGGTCGATGAATGTCCAATCCCAGATTGTGTTATTTTATTTTGGGGATATTTCAGTTACTTATTATTTCTTCGTCTTCGTTGTTCTAACACATTGCATAAATGGGTCAACATATCTTGATTTGTTTTATTCTGTATTTCTTCCTATTATTTGATATTACCATGTGATATCACAATTTCTTCGAGAATTTTTTCTACGGCCTCGTGAACTTCATAAGTGACGAAATTGCATCAGATCTAAACCTAGGAATCACAATTACGCAATCTTTCTATTCTTTTTTCTACTAATTCTTGCTCTGTGTTCCATTGCTTACACCAACGAACTTGTGCATATGTTGTGAGTTGACCGATCTTTTAATTTATTCCTCATTTTCTCTCACTTTGTAAATTCTTCAATGTTGGGTTTAGTTGGAGATGTGGAAGTACATTCTGATAAAGATGAGCAATCTGCCAATACGAACAGCTTGACAGAAACCCTAAATATTGAAAATACAATTCCGGATAACCAACCTGTTGAAAATGAACAGATAATAAGCGAGGAAAAACAACAGACTATATCAGCAGACCATACTTCTGAGGTTAAAACTTTGGATGATGACAAAGGTTACTAGAAAAATATTACCCTTGCCAACTTTCTTAGTTCTTCTGTTTCTTTCTTTTTTGTATTTACCTGATTCTGAGTATTTTTTACATTTTGACCGATTATCATTTGTTTTTTCCTTTAGTTCCAGTTTTAAGAAGCGTCTTTTTTGCTTGTTTTGACAATTTGTTCGTTTCTATGAGCACCTATTTACAACATATATTGTGAAAAGAGCTGCCTATATTGGGCAACAAACTATATGTCGTAATTACTCACATGTTTATTGACAGAACCCATCACAACACTGCAATCCGACAATAATAACGAAGCACATGATAATCAAGCTTCATGTTTGGACAAGCATGTTGACGAATCCGCAATAGAGATTAACAATTCGCTGGAAGAAGATAATGGTGTTTCAAAACCTCTTGTTAATCAACAATTTGAAATTGGGGAAACAATTACAACAATTTCTGAGAATATAAATGACCAAGGTTCTTCTATTTCCTGCTAACATATTCAAATCTGAAGTTAGTGTTTGATTCCACACAATTATTGTTACAGTAGAGAAAATAAAAGAAGAAAATACTGACCTATTACAAGAACATGAATCGGAAAAAAATGCAAAGGCAAAATCTACTTCTGACGATTTAACAAATGCGGATCAGCAAAAAGACATAGGTCTATTATTTACTTCTCACTATCTATAAACCATTTCCGTTTTTTTTCTATTATTGTCTTCTCTTTTTCGTTTGTTTCATCGGTCATAAAATCTATTTTCTGCAAACGTTTTGTTTCACACACTTACTTTTATATTCTACTTTTTACATCACATATTTTCCTTTATTGTGTAAGAATTGAAACAGCAATGATTAATGTTTAGCAGCTGAAATTCCTGAAAAGAAGTCAGAAATCGACGATTTTCAATCAACGCAAAGTGATTATGGCAAATCTGTAACTTTGCAAGATGACATTGACGACTCTTCTACTTTGAGAAAACATGAAGCTGCTATCTGTACGGCAGATACTGATGAAAGCGGGATATCAGAAACACCAAAGGAAATAGATTCTCTTGTAGATGGATCTGTTGCAGAACAAGGTTTTATTTCTTGTTTTATACAAATCCAGAAAGAAGTTTTATCGATGAAAACTTGCAAAATATCAGTTTAGTAGTAATATTTGGTGGAAATTAAGGAAATTAAAAAAATAAATCGAACCAGGGACAGTACAAGGTTATTTCATACATAAGAAGGCTTCGCAAATTGTCTATTTTACTATATTTATTCGTCTAACGCTTCAGACCACAACATGGAATTTCAATCTGAAAATAACAAGCAATCAGATAATGATCAAGCTATAGTATCCGGTAATATATTCAAGATTAACGATCACACAGAGAAAGTAAACGACAGTTCACTTGAAGTAGATATTCGTGATGAACAAATTCTTTCCACCGAACAAGTTAAGGATGAGGAAACTATCAAATCGGTATCGGAAAATATAGATGACCCAGGTTATTCTATTGATTTGTGTTAAAAATAATAAAAGTTGGTATCTTTTTCTTTCACAATATTGTTCTTACAGTGGGGAAATTAGAGGACAAAAATACAAACGTGATAAAAGAAGACGAATCAGAACAAAATGAACAAACACAATCTGTATCTATTGAGTCTTTCGACACGAGTCAGCGAACGCCAGATCTAGGTCTTTGTCTGTACTCTATTTCCTTTTTTCATTCAGTATTTTCTTGCACTATAAACTTTTCATTTTGTCGACTAGCAAATTTAAATTTTCACCTTGAAATCTATTGTTTCCATTTCCACTTTAATATTGGCGGCCGTATTCGGAGGAACTGAAACAATAACGATTTTGTTTAGCAGTGGACACTTCGGAAACGAAATCGGATAACCTGCTTCCTCAATTGGCGGAAGGTGCTTATGGCGAATCTAAAACTTTCATCGATTCAAACACAGTTGACGCCTTATTATCTCAAGATACTGATAATAATCAGCCTTCAGAAAAATCTGAAAACCAGTCCTCTCAGCAGGTCGTTGAAACAAATTTATTGAAAGATGGATCTGTAGATGACAAAGGTTTTCTTTTCTTTTCATATATCTCATTATTAAAATACTATTTTTCTCCTACTGCTTATATATATCTACTATACCGCTTATTCTCCTATTGCTCTTCTCTATTTCTTAATCAGAAGCGGCAATATTACTGCTGAAAAGATTACTTTTTGATATTGTATTCATAAGACAACAGGAAAGTCGTGCTCGCGAGTTCATTTTATTTTACTTCGCATTTTAACTTATATGAATAATACTTCGAAATAGTGGACAAAACATCGAAAATTCATGATGTAGCAATAAAGGCAAACGAAGAAGATTTAAATTCCGAGCAAGTAACTAAAAACAAAGACTTAGATTCAGAAGGAAATAGTGTTGTTGCACAAAAGACAGAAAATGATGATATCATCAAATCGTTATCCGAAGATATAAATGTCGCAGGTTCTTTTAATTCTTCCCGACTTATCCAAAAGTAACACTGGTATTTCATATCCTATACTACTTGTTACAGAGGAAAAATTAAAAGATATAAATACTGACAAATTGCAAGAGCACCAAACTGAACAAGCAGAATCTATCTCTATCGAGAAAAATAATACAAAACAGGAAACAGGTTATATTTCTTCTTCTTTTTTTCTTCTTCATTTTGCATTTATTTGCAATCCGCTTTCTTCTGCATAATCGCCATAATATATATATATATATTATAAAAAACATGTCTTGGATAAATTAAAACAGCACAAGTTAATGTTTAGAGGCGGAAACTTTGGATAAAGCTGATGCGAATTCCACAGATTTATCGGATCCAAAATCTGAGACATTCGAGCAGATCAAGAACATCGTTAATTCTAACAAAATTAAAGTTGATATATCCGGGGAGGCTGATGTTATTCAAACTTCGGAAGAACCACAGACCCATTTATCACTACATGATAGTCAGAGTATTTTATCGACAAATGGATTTTTATCTGAAAAAGGTTTTACTTCTTTTTTTTCTTCAGTTCTGAACTTCTATTTTCCCATGGTCATCTAGCCCTGATACTACTCATAACTTTACAGTCTTCTCAAAAAATGGGACTTACTTACACAGTGATATCTTTTCATCACAGTTAAATGATATTGTTTGTGTATATATAGTCGGGGAAGTGGACGAAAAATTGAAAGACAGTCAAGCAGGAGTAACGACCGACGAGAATACTTTATTAAGTTCAAATGACGGGCAAGTTTCTCCCATTACTCATCTTGTAAATGAAAACCCCGAAACAGAGGAACAAAGTAGTCAGCTGTCACAAATAGATGGTACCGAAACGGTCAACGCTGAACCAGGTTCATTTTCATCTGAACAACCACAATCTAACTCTATCGAGAAAAATGATACAAACCAGGAAACAGATTCAGGTCTATATTTCTTGTTCTGTTATTTTTTCCTTTCTACGTCTTCTGCCTTATTTTGAGCTTAGTTCCAATCCGCTTTCTTTACTGCATAATTATACCATAATATATATAATTCAAACACATATATTGGATAAATTTAAACAACACAAGTGAATGTTTAGCTGAGGAAACTTTGGAAAAACCTGATGCGAATTCCACAGATTTATCGGATCCAAAATCGGAGACATTCGAGCAGATCAAAGACATCGTTGATTCTAACAAAATTAACGTTGATTCAACCAATGAGGCTGATGTTATTCAAACTTTGGAAGAAGCACAGACCCAGTTGTCACAACCTGACAATCAGAATATTTTATCGACAAATGGATTTATATCTGAAAAAGGTTTTACTTTTTTCTCTTCATCTTTTTGATCTTCTGCTTTTTAATTGTTTTAAATCCTTGATACTATTCTTAACTTCACAATCTTTTCAAAAAATGAGTAACTGAGTTTAGTTATGAAAAACATCTTTCAAAAGCATATGAGTTCAAATCTATTTGTTTTATATGTTTTCTGCTGTGACATGGAGACAACTTTCCATTAGATTTGAACGATATTGTTTATGTGCACATAGTCGAGGAAGTGGACGAAAATTTGAAAGATAGTGAGAAAGCAGCAGTAACGATTGACCAGAGTACTATAGTATCTTCAAAGGATGAGGAGGTTATTTCAAGTACCCATTCTGTAGACGAAATCCAAATAACAGAGGGACAAAACAGGCAGTTGATACAACTAGATAGTGCCGAAACAATTAAAACAGACAACGTTGAACCAGGTTCTTTTTCCTCTTAACTTTATCTTCATTTTTAAAACGAAATTTTAATTTGACAGATATTTTATTTCCTACCGCAATGTAATTTAGTCAGATTGGATAAAACTTCTTTATACTTTTATCAGTATGATTCTATTGAACCCTTTTTACTTCTTCTCTTCTGTTCATTGTACATCGCAATTAATCTTTTATTTATAAATTACACTGAACATCATATACACACTAGCTTTCTGAGTTTCTGCTTTATTTCTCAGAAAGTTCTCCAATCGAACAAATACATAATATTGAACCAGCTTTGGTACCTGAAGATATTGAACCAATATTGAAAAACGAAGAAGGTAACGTTGATCAATCAACAGACAAACAAATCAATTTACCCTTATCACATCCTGATACTGTTGTTCAGTCGACAATTTTCGAAGACGATGGTCATAAAGGTTTTTCTCAACTTTCAATATTCGTTCTTTTTATGTTGTTCAACTTTGCCTGATATTGCTACAGTTCTATCCATTCTCTTCATTTCTTTTCGAAATTGAACCATCATCTTGCTCAATTGTACACATAGTGTAGACATATATTCTAACATTTTTATCAGATAACATCGATTCTCCAAAAGCAGTGGATTCTGAGATCCATACTGCGGAAGATGTGGGGAATAACGAAAATATTCAACTCGCCACAACTAACAACGGTGAATATTTTGTATTTAATTTGACAATTTTCGATTTTTTATCTTCGATATTTTTTACACGAAAGTTTACAGTGATTTGATCTTTCACACTTATTTAGAAGTAGTAGACTCCGAACAAAAAGACGTGCCCTTGAACAAAGAAACTTCTATAATGCAATCTCCTGAACTAACTTCGCCGAAAAAGTCGGAATCACTAGGTGATAAATGTCACTATTTCTTTGCTGATAAAAAATTTGTCAAATTTATTACAAAAATAAAATCTATTTAAAACAGATGAAACAACACAAAAAACTGAGGCTGATACTGAGTCCCAAGATATCGAACAAAATGTAATAACCGAACAAGGTATTAAGGGTATTTGGAACATTATTATTGATTCATTCATATAATACAAATATGTATCATTTATTGTGCTATTTAACCAATAAAGGTACAATTGGAAAAGATTCCAATGATGGTGAACATGAAACAAACATCAGTGGGCCTACTACCCAGGAGTCAGTTCATTCTACGCATACGGGTAACTTGCATAAAGTTTACTCAAAGCAATGAAATGACTGTTTCGATAATCGTACTGTTTCACTGCAGATTTACAAGACGGTTCACAGCAACAAGTAGAGGAACAAAACGCGACGCAGAGTCACTCGGGAAAAGAAGGTTTATGAAATGATCTCTAATGATCATTTCCCATTATATGTCCCGTTTCTGTCAAACTAATATCTCATGTGCTTCTTTTTTCTGTCGTACTTACGTATCTGACCTTGTTCATTTCACCACCACTGTACATCGATTGTTTGTTGTACATTCTTTTCGTACTGGAAACTACGGAATGCCGTTACTTGATCATCAGACAAGTGGCAACATCAAAATTATGTTGTGATATATTCTTATGTCTTATCGTTCTTTGTTCTATCGTGTTACGTGTTCCATGCATGATACTGTCTATACTATTTTTCATCCATGATTCATTTAAAATACAAAATTACACCTAACTCGCCTCAACCTATTGTTGAAAGTTTTCGATTGCTATTTTAAGATTTGATAGATCAAAGTCATTTTTTGCCAGTTCTGTCCGAGAATTTCAAATATTAAACATCCTGACGCCCACCATACTTTTTAAAAAACAAAAATGTAACTCTGTAACTCTGCGCTCTCGTAATTTGTAGATTCTAGACATTCAACAATATAATTAATTATCTTTGATAACCGATTTGAAAGTGGATCCAGCGCTGCGGATCCATATTAAAATTACTTCGCTGTCCATATAAAAACACGTTATTCAGAAAATTCACTAATTTTTGAACAAACCGACGTACATGGCAGATTGATGTAAAAGAATAGCCTACATTCATTTACACATATTTAAGTTAATTTGTGTTTGATCCATGTTGAGAATATTTATTTCTTCTATCTTGCTCATGTTCATGGATACATTGCTTCGGCGAAAAATATTCCTTTTCCAAACAAACTACGGTTACACTCGGATGATCATTTCTAATCTCGACTGAGTTTGAGTTCTCGCGCAAACTGAATGTATGCTTTATAATTTCGAAATCTTCATAACAAACCTGACATTTAGAACAAAATTGTCCGAGATGTGATGGCGAGGAGCTTTTATCTAGTGTGAGGAGTGAGTCAATTCCTGTTACCAATGCTCAAGTTTGTGATATTAATAATTTGGAAGATACTTTACCGACAAGATCTACTGGAGCAGTGGGGAACCAAGAGTCAGATAACGAGGACGACGATTCTTATCCGGATGATGAGATCCAACAAAGAGCCAATACCGAATCGGATGAAGGTGATAAGCAATCATGTCAGTGATATTTTAGACAGACAGTGTAACAGGTTTATATGTCTTGATATTGGGGAGGAGAATTGGTTGCGGGGTTGCTCAAGGTCGGATCAAGATTTTTGCTTGTCTCACTTCTCTACACCAACTCTTAAATCGAATACAACTGCATCATGTAAACCAACATATCTTGCTGTTTCCAGTGAAACTTGCCACAATGGCTAATATTATAATCATTTATAGGTACTAGTTAATATTGCCCAATGGTTTTGAGATCAAACACGCATTTTCTTTGAAAACTGAAAATATAAAGTAGCTCTTTTTTTCCAAACTAAAGATACTCCTAACAATATTGATTCTCACCAAAAACAAGAAGAACCAAACAAAAAGCAACAAGTGGATGGAGGTGCATGGAAATTTTATTCACTTTTGGCATTAAAGCTGAAACAATCTTTTTCCATCCGGGTGTACAATGCGGAAGATAATAGTACGAATGAACAAAAATTTGAAAGTAATAAGAAATCTATTATTGCAGAAGCAAACGATGAATCCCAAGCGCAAGGTTTATAATTGAGATTATCACAGTCTTGCTTATAGATTTCCTGTTGAACAAAAATGACAATGAACCTAAAAGTACAGGGTGATAAAAACATATAACCCAGTTCATTTAAAACATATTCTAGAGAAAACATAACTTTTGTGCAAAGCGTCCTAAATTACTGAAACCATTGGGTACAAGCATAAACAAACAGAAGTTGAATTGTCAAATAAATTTTCTTTTTTTGGTAGTTGAGGAACACAATGATAAAACGCTAGCGTCAGAGACAGATCAGTCTCTCCAGCGACGAGTCAACGACAAATTTATTTCGCCACGGCAGAAAACATTATCTAGTTCATCAGAAGGTGCCCACAATTTTGATCTTGCACGCTCATTTACACTTTTTTTTATCAATACTTAATTTCATTCATTTTGTATGAATTTTTCTTTGTTGTCGATGATGGCACTTAACTCTGTTCATTTGTATTTTAGATCTAAAAAATGTTGTTTATTTATGTTTCATAATCATGTCAAAGAAATTCATATGATTTAGTTTATTGCAGCTGATTTTATTTTATTTACAGATGATTTACCATTGGTTAGTTGCTCGTATGATTTTGTATTGCTGCTTTTTATCTTTGAACTTCATTTGTTGCAGTTTGTGCAAATAATAATATCAACATGAATATATAATTCTGTTTGTAGATGACTAATTGCTTGTGCATGTGCAACATATTAATTAATTGCATGCTGACTGTAAAAGTTATGCTATTATACTACAAAATATCATGACTAATGGTAACCTTGCATGCTTATAATGTACTATATATATTAGAACCAACATCTGCGCCCGAGCCCGCAGTCGAAGAAAAGCCTGAGGAAGCAAGTACAGAACAAGCTTCGGAACAAGCAACAGGTTATTTCCAATACTTAAATTGGAAGATTAGGAATTATTAGTCGCTAGAATAAAAACTGGCTTTGCAAATACAATAATATATATATTAGAGTTATCTTTTCTGCCAAGAACAAACCATACATTTCAGCATGATGCTCACTAATCAATTTAACTGCTTACATGCGTAAAATTTAGTATTGTTTAATATATTTTTATTCTCCTATTTGTCGAAGGTTATACGACAGTTCATGATTTATAACTACGGAATATGTTACTTTTTAACAGCTGAAGCGGAACCTGCAGCAGCAGAAGAGCCTTCAGCACCACCAGGTATCTAATACGTTCGCATTGGCAAACTTGATCATGTATTTTTTAATTCGCTGAGCAACAAGGTTACATTGTCGATTACATTATATTCCAGAATCATGTACGCGAAGTGCCTTATACTTCTGGCGTATGATTGTGAAATTAACAAACAATTAAAAATGTTTCGATTATGAGTAATGAAAAATAACATGAACAAAACGATTTAAACGTTGAACAATTGAGCGCCACGCAACACCCAGTATTGTATTTGAAATATAGTAATATCTATATTCAGTTCATAGCGCTGCTATGTTAATATAGTTCATGAACGACAAAACAGGTTTTACGAGCAAGATTCTTCTCAAAACTCCCATTTTCACGGAAATTTGTTGGATACTTTATTGTATTACGAAAGATGGATCTCAACATTCGCGAGCATGTTTTATCTTAAAAATAATCCATTTCGCATTAAAATAGCCATATTAAACAAATAAATTCAAAATAAAGCTTTTGTGAATTATTTTTTAAAATGTGCGTATAGAGCAACAGTATGGTTTCAAAATTGTTTTGTTTAGGAAGATATTTGGATACTTTTTAATGTTAAATATTTGTGTTAAATCCATTAGGCATGAATTGTCACATTAAATACCAAAAAGTTGTTTATAGACGACAATGAATAAATATAATATATATATGAAACACCAAAGTTGTATTTGAAGGCAAAAGAATTCAACATAAAAGTATAATTGCTTCATTTTCAATTGGAAACCCGACTATACTTTAGTTTGCCAAAGTTTATCATTTCTTTCATTCGCAGCTGATGAACCTGCAGCTGATGCTGGCGCCGGTGGAGGAGAATAGACATATTGTAGGTATATGTATTGATTTGATATTTTTATACATTTTATATCAGTTGAAGTGAAATCGTGTGTATCTTTCAAAATATTATTTATTACAAGTACGGTTCTTGATGGAAATATATATATCGAGACCGTTTCATACCCAAATAGCCGTTTGCAGTTTGTTTACCAACGGCTTAGCAAAAATATTTATATTAGCGATGAGTTCAGAAAAAAGTTGAATATCAAATATTACTGGCATTTATAACCGATTTACGGCATTGTTTATTACCAATACGTTTAACATCTCAGTAGCGTTGCCAGAAAATAACTCGTAATAAACTTATTTATGGGGCTACATTGACAATTTCAATTAGATTTTAAAAAGAAGATCCATTGCCAATGCGAATATTGTCGTTTTTGATATGATATTCTAGTTCGATTATAGACCCATATTTATCAGTATTCGACATTCTATTCATTAATTACGGTATTTTATTTTTAGGCTCATGGAATACTCTGAATTTTATGAACCATTCATGAACGTTTCTTGTCAACTAACTCCACAAATACAGTTCAAGTTAAAAAGAAAATAATAATAGTAAAATAATTTCATCAATTTTTGCGATAAACTCTTTACAATACGTTTCATTACATTTATAGATTATATTATTTCTTCTACATTATTTGTTTTTATAAGTATTTGTGATTATGCACAAAATTCCGAAGAAAAAAAACATTTGACAACTTTATTTTTACTCCATGCTCATCGACCTGGATATGTTAAATCAAATCAACTGAATTCGTCTGCTTTTGTATTAACAACTTATTGATGATAAACGAAGCGCATAACAAGCCCAGATACCATTGGATTGCTGTGGACATGTCATAGTGTTTTCATGTGTATGCGTAAAGTCATACATTTTTGTCCTTGCTATGATACATGATCGGTAACATGAAATTAGACTGGGTTTATAAGTGAAAAATGGCTGTTATTAAATACTTAATATAATATATGTTTTTTAAAATAACGTAAATGATGATATTACGAGTAAATAGACCATATGCTCCTCGTGAATTTACATTGCATTCCAACTCAGTTGATAGCAGAAAAGCGTCGAGTTTACACTCATGTTTTGTGATTGTCTTTCATAATATTGAATGAGTACTTGCTTAGCATTATCTCTATAATATTACTGTGAAGTTGTTTGTTACAAATTTATTCTTATTATACTCAAAGTCTGTACACCGTAAACTTTCACACGCTAGCATCACCTCACAGTTATCTTCGATTATTATTAGAACGCTGATTTATAATTTTGCGTATGGATTTGTCAAGTTTAGTTTTCTGTGTTTATAGTTTTTAGTTTATGTTTTTCAGAATCAGATTTTCACAACGAGATAAATCAAATAACAATACAAAGTTCATATATATATATATATATTGACATTGTTCTCTAATCCATTAAATCTATGTTGGAAAAAGTTGCGGAAATGTTAGCTTATTATTTTATGAACATATCGTAGTTATGATAGGTACTTAAAATTGCACTTTCATTGATATTAATTGTTTTCACACGTGTTATTACATAAACAAAAACAGATCCCATTGTTTTTACAATGCACATTGGTAAGGTATTGGTATTTGCTATATTTAATGAAAATGATATAAACTATTTCGAATTTTTAACCGGTTTTTAAAATTGCTAGATAATAATATCTATTTGACCGTAAATTACTTCTCCACGCTAATTTTTACTGGGTCATATATCAAATTTAAAGCCACACAGCCACGCTACTGACACAATGTAGGTAATTCTTCTATGATATACTTTATCGGCATCAGTTTCCGCCCTATTCAAACAGTTAATGAAAAGAATCTTTGATATCGAATAAATTGCTGCATCTTTTTTTAAATTTTTGCTTAAGTGTTATTATGGACTGGTATATACAACTTGGACTTCTGGTAATTTTTTGTTTGTTTGTAGAACAAAATGGTATTATAATATAAAACAGCGAGATAGACTTATTTTCATCTTTTGAATTTATTTTGAATATCTATTACTGTTCGATGAAATTATATTAAATATATATTATAATTTTCATTTTATATTATTTGACTCGTCCTGTTAATTTTAATCGGAATAGATATTATGGAAATGTATCAATAAATTCATTATTTTTGTATGTAAATCAATGGTTATGTCCGAATTTCATTTGAAAAAATGGCTCCATAAGATTTGTATTATCTACAGAAAAATATAAAAGAAATGATGGCTTGTTGTCAGAACCTAATACAACAAATAGTATTCGAGTTTATATATTTTTATCATGGTGTACAAATTATGAGTAATATTAATGATATTTGAAATTAGAGTTTGACTTCCACGATTCGCAAGTTAGAAAATTTCGGCGTGGTTGGTATGGTAATGTGCGTTTCTGCCACTTATTGATATTAGAGTGTTGAGTGGTCGATCTTCCAGAATACCATGAAATTCGGATATCGGAATCAATTTGTGCTGGAGTTTCCTTTTTGAAAATATCGGCGTATCATCTCTTTATATTACAATGCGTTCAATACGTTCGTTTAATAGTTTAGTGTAATAGTTTTTTTTTTTTATACCTCATCCGGTCGTTCAATTTAATTAAAAACTCGTGATGCCTTGACCAGTTTGCATATAGTTTTCTAAGAAGCCCAATTCGGCATATGAATATATTAATCGTTTTTGACCGGGTGCCAACTGCTGTGGCTCAGAACCAATTGCTAATTGACAATGTTTTATGCACATGCAAATAATAGGTACAGGCAATTTATAAGCATATAAAGGGAATCAAACATGCATACGTGGCCAACGCAATAGGCATGTATAGCCAATGCATTATAACACAGTTGTCACATATTTGTGAAGTATTAACCGCTGAAAAGTTTTAGTTTTCAGACATTTACATCATTCTCATTAACAGAAACCCATTTTCTTGTCTAGACTAAATGGGACAGTTGCCTATGCTAGGTCTATTTATCGTTAATGGGTGTCATATATGAATTATATAACTGCACATTTCGTACGCGGAGAAAAATATGGTTCAGACAGTCATGCTAAGGAGTCACAATTATATTATAATTCAGCTCAATTGCAGAGAGTTTGGGAAGTTTAGTGTCGGACGTATAGTATTTGGTATTCGGAATCGTTGTTTGATGAAATTTTCTTCGCCGTAGTCCTTTGGGAAAGTTTATAAATGTTGCCACAGGCAGGCAATTCCCTTATTTATTTGAACGCTCACAGACTGACATTATACTAAGTCACAAACGATTGCAATTAGTACTTGTGTTTCGAATACTGTAATAGCATTTACAAAATCAGTATGTAAGAAATAACATACCTAAACACAGGTCAAGGCCAGGAAATTTTAAAAACATAGCCATGCAGCGATACGTATTATCATTCAATTAAAGTAATAATCAAGTGCTTTTGAACCCGGTTCTTCTTTGCCAGAGTATCACATGAACACAGTATACTAGAGGCTGTTTAAATAGAAACATTACAATACAACAACAGATTAAATCACTACTGCCAATCGCTGCAGTAACACTGAACATTCTCCCTTAGTTCATTGGTACTAAAACACGTGACTGTCTGAACTCTATTTTCATGATACACCATACACCGCGCTTTTTGCAGCGCTAACTAATGCCCTGTCGTTCTCGAAGCCGGGTCATCAACTCTGTAGGCTGGCTGTACAAGCTATACGAACGGCCAGACAACATGTAGCCCAGTGGTTCTCAACTTTTTACAGACCGCGTACCACTTTACTGTTTTTTACTATGGCCGCGTACCACCGACAAAGCCCCTTTTTAGGCGTGAAGAAAAAGACACAAGAAACGTGCTATGGGAATATTTTATAATGTGGCACTACATCCCTTGTGGCTTAACACGCAAAACGGACAAACGCACTTCATTTAAGGTGGGCAATAGCGGGCGAGGGCGATCTCTAAAGACAAGGACTGGTAGCGCACCAGCGCTATGGACGTTTCCCCGACCATTGACCCCGGAAAAAATATCCCTATACTTTACTATTGCAAACTATTGCTTATTCTGAAAGTGTTTCGATGTGTTGGCGCATATAAACTGGTTTACGTGTTTGAAACCATCATTTGTATTGAAATTAATCAGCCATGTGCCAGTTGCAGGTACTGATATATATAGCTAAGTTTAACCTTGTCCATCGCAGCATTTGCGAGATTCATTTTTAATTACTGCAACTAAATCAGACATAATGACAATTAAGTTTTTACTAGTGGTACTCGTACTACAGGTTGAGAACCACTGATGTAGCCGGATACTCAAAGCCGCAACAAGTTAAATTTACGTAATGAAAAGTTGTGAACTAAAACGTTAACCCAGGGGTGTGCAACAATTTTTTTCGGCGGGCCATATATCCAACTTCAGACATTTAGGTGGGCCACACAAAATAATTTAGACATCCCAGGTACAGAACGAATTAAAAAATCCTCACAATGGGAAATGTCCGGAAAGTGTAGAATATTTGCGGTGGTGCTAACACAGTCATCTGTTGGAATGGTTGTTTCATCATAAAATTATTATATCTGTATGTCTCCTTGTACGCAAGAATCTTTAATCTGGTTAATTGTCATAGTGGTTGATTATATAATATATCAAATTTGTCAAAATTTACTTATTTTGTAATTATAAAAAAAAAAACGATTTTGTGATAGTTAGACGAGTTACTCTAAACTAAATACATGCATTGTAATTCTAATGATATCAAACAACTCTCACTACATACAGGTGCTATGACCAAAAGTGAATATAACTTAATATATAGTGTGATTCAAGGTGCGGCTCATACCAGAAACACGTAAAAGTCCGATCCCAAACAGACCATCCAACCTTTGTTGACGAGTCTTTATTATTGCAGTAATGGGCATCAGTGAGTCAATTTATTCCGGAACTTGGCCGTGATTTAATCTATTTGCATGAACATCACTCCAGAAATAAGCTAAATAAAAATTAAACGTGAAATATACATGCATATGATTCAATTGCTTCTGTATGTACATCACTGGCACATATGTATCCGAAATATTTTGGCATTATTTACCATTGTCTACCGATAAAAAGCCGTAATGTCGGTATAGGTCGCAGAAAATGTGAATTTATTGGCTTTTAATGAGCTAAAAATTGTATATTAAACTCGAAAATTAATAAACGAATCAAAATTAGGTTATGTCATACTATCGACAAATGTTATTTTGCGGTGACAGCGATGCCGATATCGGTTAATTTTGAAAAGATCTGTAACAAGCTAAGATATATATAATTTTACCACATGAGTTTCCGTATATTTCCAAAATAAAACCTCGCGTTTAGAACACCTGGTAAAACACTCTGTATGGCTTATGCTACGTGAAAATCAGTGACCCAATGCGAGACTGTATAAGTTTGCATCAAAATTAAAGCACATACGAACTTAGCTGGGTTAAGCATTGTGATACAGTTTAATATTGTAATAAGGACATTTGGTTTTAAACTATATTGAAACACTTGATTCGTTGATGGTTTGTGAAAACCCTTGATCCGTATCCTCGATTTGTATAAGTTTTTGACAATTTTTAACGAAATATATTATACCCGTGACCTGTGTGGAATGGGGCTACAATTGTGCTTTCCTGCAGGGAGATTATTCTTGGGTAGTATCTCACTTATCCCACGCTCAAAGTGGCCATTAAGAGTCGATTTATGGTCTGACAAACACATTCTACCAGCCATTTTGCGACAAACACAGCAACGACTAAGAGAGTTCAAATTTCACACGGTGATATTTATTGTCGTCTCGCATCTCTTCATCTTCTTCATGGCGGATTTACGCCAAGATATGTGTGAAATAAAATTTTGTACTGTTGGCAACGTCATTTTAGTTTTGCAGTCATGTTTCGCGAGATAGCAGAAACGTCGACCATTACGTTCTAGATTAAGATTTGCAACGCACTCAGTAAAAAAGCCTTTGGCCAGGTTACAACCTTTTTTTAATGATGATAAACGGTCTTTTCATGCTTTGTTTGGTTTTATGATTCGAACTATTTTCTAAAATTCTTTTAATTTTTGCTAAAGAGATGGTGAATAATAAAAAAATAATACAGTTCAAGATATATATTTCATTGCTTTAAGATTTTTCAAATAAAGTTAGTATCCAAGTTATCCAATCTGAAAGCAAAGAAATAAAGGTAAGAAGATTTTTTACAAACTTCAACTACTAAGTAACGTATTGCGCTGCTATTTACTATTAATTATGCAAAGCCTAGCTTGTGTCAATGATAAAATACTACTAGTCGCCTAAAAGTTTACAATATGACGAAACTACTTTATTCTCACTAAAGGCAAACAATCGTATTTGATTGTATAGCCTGCTTATCTATTGAGGTAAAACTTCAGACAGTGTAAACTGCATCATCTGTCAGTGACATGTTCAATTACTTGCCAGAGCGTTAATATTATCTATTTATTATATATATTTCATCAGATGAGGATCCACATATATGCTTTTATATGCTACATGGCAACTACTATAAACGGTAAGAATTTTGACTTTTTGTGAGGCTTGTTCGTAGAATTGTTATCAATTTTCGATTCGTGTACATTTGACCGATCTTTATTTCAACTTCGTGTCGATTACATGGTTAATCGGATAAATGCAAAGAACTTTTTTATTTATACACGGTCAGTTTGATACGAAAAAAATAGAGTATTGTAAATATAAAATAAATTGTCTTAGTCAAGGGATTAGTGCTTAAAACAGTTAATCGTTCGAGTGCAGTATTCAACATAAGTTTTTATTGTACCTTGTAAAATTTTCTACCAATTTATGGCGAGACATTGTAGACTACATTCGTAAGGAATTTGTTAGTTTATATCTTGTTTATAGCTTTTTCACACTGATACACAGTCTCTTTCAATCATTGTGGTGGTACCTACATACAAACAGAATTTCTATGCTTCAAGTTTTTTTCTCCAGTAACTTCTGATAGGTAAAATTCTTGAAATATTTCCCTGGCAGTGTTGTCTCTAATTACTTTAAGACCCTTGTTAACATATATATAAGCCAGACTTGTCCATGGGAAACGTCCCATGGGATGGGATGGGACAGCACACATTTGTATTTCCCATGGGACACGTGGGACACGAAAACCGTATGATTTTTGGGGAAATGATGGTAAAACATTCCGTTATGAATTTCGTGTCTATATATTTGAGCATAGCTCTCTTGTTCGTTATGAAGGGCAAAATATATTCAGCAATAACAATATACTTCGTGAAGGGGCTGATGGACACATGTATAATAGTTATGAATATATAGTTAACAAAGTCCGTAAATTTTGTTGTTTTGCATGTCTCTTCGTACATGTAGTCCTATTTATAGACGCTAAACCTAATTTTAACAATTTTCATTGGATTTTATACTAATGGGAATCCCATGGGATGGGATGGGACCGGCATAATTGCTATGGGATGGGAATGGGACGGAAAAATATGTCAAGCCTGATATAAGCATCTTCGTAGCACCAATAAATCCGCATGCCGCTCATAGATTTCAGAACTTTAATGGGAGATTGTGATTTCTATCATACGGACCAACTTCAATAAGACTTGCAGCATTCTTAAGCAAAAAAATGGCGAGAAACTAAATAACATATAAAGTATGAAAAAGTATTGCTTCAACCACATGACTTTAAAAAAGAATTTCTGTTTTTCTGACTCGTATTTCTCCAAATGCAGGTGTGGAACATGGCAAGAATTTCGTCTGTTATTTCACAAACTGGGCTCAGTACAGGCCGGGTGAAGCAAAGTTCGATGTATCAGATGTGGATCCATTCTTATGTACTCACATCGTTTATTCATTCGTGACAATGGACAGTGATGTAGGTGTATAAACAGTGTAAGCGACGAAGGGGGAGGGCCTTGGGTAATTCATGCACAGGAAGGTCGTTCTCTAATCATTGGAGGGCATAATCATAGCCGACTTGGATTGGAAACCAGATGAGAGGTCGTGGTCCTCTATGTGATTAGGTCGTTATATTTCATTTTCTTTCATTGGGATAAATATGTAACACAATAATAATGGTGTCTTACATATATTTTATTTATGACTAAAATCATTCATCCAGCAAACGGGTGATCGAGATTTACGTAAAAAAGTTACATAATTACAATTATTGGTGAATGGATCATTATTAACCCACTTTTTTATCAAACTCCTTTTATAAGCTTGAGTTGGCGCTGCGAGAATGGAATGGCATGGATTTGATAAACGCGCTTATGGCATTGAAAAATCAGAATGAAGCATTGAAGATAACAGCAGCAATAGGGGGTTGGAAATTCGGAACTACAAAATTTTCTCAAGTTGTGTCGACTCCGGAAAAAATTAAGGTAACTTGTTTTTCACTTCGCTGGCCGAATTTATATTGATTAAATACTTATTATCTATTTTCCAGTGAAATGAAAAGCTATGGTATAAAATAGACTTATCCTTTTATTCATTTTTTATTACTTTACAAAAATTGCTGTACTCGAGGAGAACGTCATGAAGAAGTAAAGAGACGTATTTGTTCAATTAATAACCCCAGCTTGAAGGATTCATACATTTTTGTGCATTAAGAAATTCGCAACAACAAGTTTGGCGTTTTTAAAGAAGTACGGATTCGATGGACTTGATTTGGACTGGGAATATCCCGGAAGTAGAGAATCCACCGCTGTAGATAAGGAGAGATTTACTCAGCTGTGCGAGGTGAGCATTACCAGTTATTTAAATGTGTACTGTGAATTTTGAAAAGCCCGAATAAAGTACTTGGTTTATAAATTATGCAGAAATTAGAAGTAAATAACAGTTGGCAATGTTGTTGCCACTAAAACTATGTTTCATAGGCTAAAAAATAATAATAATCTTATCCTAGAAGTGGTCGATCGTTACAGGGCAAAACGGGGCCAGGCTTGTCCATGGGAAACGTCCCGTCGGATCGGATGGGACAGCACACATTTGTATCCCCCACGGGACACGAAAACGTATGATTTTCAGGGGGATGATGGTAAAACATTTCGTTATGGACTTTGTGTTCATATATTTGAGCATAGCTCTCTTGTTATTCATAAAGAGCAAAATATATTCAACATTAACCATATAATTTGTGAATGGGCTAATGAACACATGAATATAAAGTTACCAATATCAAGTATATTTTGTCGTTTTGCATGTCTCTTCGTACATGTTGTCCTATTTAGTAGACGCTAAACATAAATTTAGCAATTTTTATTGAATTTCATTCCAATGGGAATTCCATGGGGTGGGATGGGACAGACATAATTGCTATGGGATTGGGTGGGAATGGGACAGAAATAAAAGTCCCAAGGACAAGCCTGGGCCAAAACCTTCTCCGAAGGCCTATCTATTTAAGTCACCGGCTACTCTTGATTAAATTTTGTTTATTAAAACTTATAAAAATTATTTAGAACTGTTTTCCCACTTACTTTAACCAAATTCTTCCGTGCTATTCTACTACTGGTGGGGTATTCGAATGCCGAAATACCTGACCAGTCGCATTTCAGCATTCGGTCGTTGTTAAAATGCGCAGGGTCACTAGACTATCAGTCGGGGCTCAGCAATATTTTTGCAAGCTTTCATGGCTAACATGATTGCTAGATATAGTGTTGATTCAATCAATTTCTCATTTGAATATAGTGGAGCCGTCCACCAGGTTGTGATACCACTATCAAATTCACATAAGCTTATTGCAGTGGTTTTCAACATTTTGGTGGAGCGGAAACAAAAGGAACATTCCGGGGTTTCGAAGGACCCCAGGGCATAAAAAAACCTAATACTGGTAGAACGAAGGGATTTTTGTAGTTGGGTGCCACGGAACCCCGATTTTAAAATAGGCATGCTTAGTAAATAAAACGAGCTTCGTTTTGAAATTGCCAAAAAAAGAGTAGTGTAGCGAATAATTAATATTTTTTTGATTCACGCGTGATCTAACGTTAACAACGCAACAACTCGCATACCTATGAGTCAAGTGCTGAAATTTTCTCACCCAAAACATGTCACTGAACAAGAGCTTCGTACGCAGAAGTAGTTGAGCCCAACGCATGTTGGCAGTTTCTCCGTCGTTTATTCAAGTCAAAAGTCAAAAACTAGCTTGTGTGGAATATAGAGAATGTATTGTCCAGACTGTTTGAATCGACAAAGAATTGAATTATTTCTCAGATATTAAAAGATACCTTCAGGAAGGATGCCATCGCCACCGGCGAAGTGGAGCTTTTGCTGACAGCCGCAGTTCCTGCCGGAAAAACGACTATCGAAAATGGTTACGAAATAAATGAAGTTTGCAAGTAAAAATTTTTGTGATAAACCGTCTTAAATACATCAGTGTGTCAGTTGGTTCCATGAATCAATCAAAAACAATAATTTTGTTACGACATTTGTCGTTAGCTTACCACAACAAGAATATCTGGTATTTGTCTGATGCGTTCGGTAACATTTTAAGACTAGACTACTCTATCTGCTAACGTAATGACACCTTTATAGGCATCTAGACTTGGTTCATCTGATGACTTACGATTTGCATGGTGGTTGGGCTGATGTAACCGATCACAACAGTCCATTGTATGGAGGATCAGTTGAATACGACGGAGATGAAAAGTATCATAACGTCGTGAGTGTTATCTTCTATTTCAACCTAAATATACACGTTAATAAGAGAATGGTTAACAGGCTTAATTTCTCTTTATCCATGCCCTCTGGACATTACTTGTGTGATTTTTGTGGATACCTATTATCTGTTTTTACTTTTTTTTTGCGATGTTATATTTTACTATTTTTCCTAATCTCACACATATTTTGAAGGATTTTGCGGTGAATAAATGGCTTGATGGAGGATGTCCAAAAGAAAAACTTGTCATGGGAATACCAACATACGGAAGGTAGGATTTTGTATTTGCCTTAGAAAAAAAGCGCACCAAATAGCATAATATGCACAAGCATTTAAGTTGGTAGTACCGGATGAATGGAAGGTAACGGTTCCCGATGAAAATAGTAAGTAAACTACTTGACTTACTGGGCAATGACTCAAATAATCATTTTGCCTAATATTTATTCATCCTTCGCGCGATTTAAAGACAGACAGACACGCCTAGATTGAGAAATCAATTCTTTAGAACAGGTATGGATTGATGGGTGTCTGCAAGATATCGAAACTTCCATTTACTGTGTCTTTGCAGATCATTTAAATTAGCGGACAAATCTCAAACTGGATATGGATCAAGAGCACTTGGTGCCGGAAATAAAGGAAAGTACACTAGAGAAGATGGATTTCTTGCTTATTATGAGGTAATATGATTTTTTTTATAAGCATATCGCTTTGCATTCTTCGATTTTTCGAGAAAATGTCAGACAACTAATATAAGCAGTCTTTCAAACTTGCAGTTTTCTAAATTGATTTACTTTTTACGTATATGTTGGAGGAATAGCTGAATTTTTATAGATGCAGTTAAGTTGAGTGCTCCAATTGATATAAATAATACTTTAAAAATGCATAATTTTTATAGAATTATATAGTTTTGATTTTGGAGCCAAATGTTGAAAACTTGTATTTTGGTAGATGTAATCACGATTACCGGTATATACTAAAAAGAACCAAACAAATTCATGGAAATATGCGTGAAACAAGAAAAAAAACTCACAAAAGTCTTATCGTCATAATACACTGTCCATGATTGTAAAATATTGGCAATAAAATATTTTATTCTTTGATCTAGATCTGCAACTTGGTTGATGATGACACAGAATTAATATGGGATGATCATGCTCAAGCTCCTTACATTGTAGTTGGTGACCAATGGATCGGTTTTGACGACGAGGAATCAGTAAAGAAAAAGGTTATTTAAAGGCATTAATGAGTTTCATAAAAATACTTGCGTATCTGGATATTAGAGTTGAATTTGTTTGAAGTGTGTCTTAATTATTGATATATTGATATCCAAATGGCGTGTTTATAGAGTAAACTTATTTGATAAAAGGGACAGAGTGGACAATGAAGTTTTACATATTTTGTACTTAAATCTCAGTGCTGTAACTTGATCTATTTAAGACCCGAAAATGACCAGTGGACTATTCATGTTTTAGCGGGGTGGTAAATGATAAATGGACAATAAAGGACGTCATATAAACAAATATGACGTCACAGTATCATTTTAAGGTGTGAGTGAAAGAATCGTGGCCTAACTACATGCCACAAACGCGTGTGAATACATGTAGATTTCTATTGTTGAATAACAAAATTTCTGCCTATAGGTTGAATATCTGAATAAAAAAGGTCTTGCTGGAGCGATGATTTGGGCCCTTGATCTGGATGACTTTGATGGAAAATTGTGTTCTGGAGACAACAGAAAATATCCATTATCAAAGTATAATCATCTCTAATATAATATTGTATGGGTCAGATTCAATTTTGATACAAGAATAAGTCAATAATCGCTTGTTACACAGTTGATAAAATATTAAAAATTAATATTTTCCAATTTAAAATTAATTTCGCCTATTATTGAGTAAAAAATTGAATATATACATGTCGTCTTATATTTCTTGTTAGTGCAATCAAGGAAGAACTGAACAAAGACAAAAATGTATCGTCAACACCTACAGAAGAAAATGATGTCGCCGAGCCTTGCATGGGTGGGTGATTGAAATCTTTCTACTTGTGGCCCGAGTAAAAATTTTGTTCGTCCAATTTCAGGGGCTAACGGCGCCATAGTAATGGTTTTAACTGACTTGTGTTCGGTGTATGGAATATTTATGAAAAGCACTTATCAAATCATGTTACATTTCTCGAAATTTATCGCTGTGTCAGTAATCAAATTCGCCACTGTTTTGTGTTCTTTTCGGTATATCATACAAGTTGACTTAGTTGGGAACCCTGGCACTTATGTATCGCAGAATCAGCAGTAAAGTCAACGATTCATAACAAAAACCGAATTCAAAAACTTATAGTCATTTGCCCGTTAAACTTATTTTCTGCCAAAGGTCCCGACTGCTATTCTTCCTGCAACACTCGCGAACCAGATGAGACGGATTGCCAGTGTTTTTACAAATGCATATCTGGGACACGATCTCCAGCTTGCTGTACGGTGGGTACTTACTTTTAACATGCTAGACTCAGGGGTTCCCGAACCGCGGCCCGTGGGCCAAATCCAGCCCGCGTAGCGGTTTAAAATGACCCGCCGAGCTTGAGTGAAATAATGTTCAAAAGATTTTGTTTCTTTTGATTCAATTATACCAGTATCTCAATTATACGTACCGGTATTAGGATTACATAGGGCGGTAATTAATAACAGCCATATATATAGGAAAGCTCAGAGATGTCAGAAAACAAACGAAAACTAGACTCTGAAAACAGACGGTTTTTGGATAAATGGCAGTGTTTGTATTTCTGAATTAAAAAAATCAAACTTCAGCGATTTTTGAACTATTCCAGTTCTGAAGGAATACGACATAAAGCGCCAATTATGAGTCGAACAAACATGTTTCAAAAAATGTCAAATGAAGGTGAATCCATTCCGGGCGCTATATTCTTCCGGCCCGCGAACGTCTTTCCAATTCTAATTTTGGCCCGCGGACAATGAAGTTTGGGAACCCTTGTGCTAGACCTTTTGACGAGAGTTGTCTAATTTGTAGCAATAATCCTGAGTGGCAAGTAAGGCGATTCCCGATATTCTTCTCGATTCTTCGTCCGCTACGCTAGGAAGCGTAAGAGAGTTCTGTATACCACTCAGCAAATAATGTATGTGCAAAACATACGGACGAAAATGGAGTCCATATCATTGCTAACAAATAATCCATATCAAGTGTTTACATATTTTGGGTTTGAGTAAACTATGAGTGGTGAGCCGTCGGATTGAAGTTGATATATATATAGATTTAATCACCTAAATATTAATACATGATTGAGTTCCTCTTACCAAATTTCGTAGTTTCAACTGAAATTTATTGGTAATAAATAATGTCAATCGCTAATATTATAATTTTAATATTTTCAACAGTCTGGCCTGTTGTTCAATCGACAAGAAGGAATGTGTGATTATCCATCAAATACCGACTGCGCTCAACCCGACGAAATACCCGAGACTGGGACCGCAACTTCATCTACAGGTAAAAACTGTAAAATCGAATTTAATACAAAAAATTCATGTTTTATTTCATCTAAGATAGAGAAGAAATACATATCAGATTGAAGATAAACTATTGTATGGTACATTTTGCATGAGTTTTGTTCATAGTTCAATTTGTGATTTTTTACACTTGTAGTACTAAAATATTTCTTATTATTGACATGTTATTGGATTTTACAAATATATTCAAGTCACCACAAGCGCATATTTCTAAAAATGAAATAAAAAACTTGAAAGAATATAATCAAAGGGAAAGGACGACCAGAGAAATCTTTATGTTTCAATGTAAACCCGGTAGTAAAAAGTACCAGATGTGCATCCAAAATGTAAATATAATAAATAAAATATCTATTCCAGATCATCGTATACCAACTCCTGTACTTGAATGATATTAATGGCTGTGAAATTCATATGTTATGTAAAGAACAAACCTAAAAGTTAAATTTTTTAAAAGTTCAATTTTCCCATATTTTTCAATCATGAGATCGAATTATTTTTCTTACAAATTTGGTTGTTTTGGAGAAGTATTTAAAAAAATCAACAAAGACATATCAAGTTTTGTTGAAATATTTTGAACAGCAAAGACTGATTTGACGAACACGCAATCCACTACCAGTAAATCGACCACAACAGAGCCAATACCTGATTCTACTACATCTACTACTGTTACAAGCACTACTACGACCACCACTATCTCTACTACCCCCGCGACAACAATCAATGGTTCTTTCGATTGCAACAATCGTGTCGGAACATTTGGCGATCCAATTATTAAACGAAAATTTCATATATGCCTACAAGATGGACGTCATTTCGAGAACATGTGTGCCTACTCTCTAGTATTTCTTGACGGGGGATGCACCTGGCCCCCTGCATAGACGTCAAAACATCAGAACATCATCATCACTGCCATTACTATTGAATTTTATACCCAATATGTCATTTCATCACATCATAAAAATTTTAAGTATACTTTTTGATAACTTTAATGGTTTTGTACTTCATAATATTGACAGCATCTTCTACCATGAGTTCAACAGAGCAAATACCTGTAACGGAAATACCTTTATCATCAACTGTTTCAACAAATCCGTCTTCTGATTCTGATGTATTACCCTATTCAACTACTACAATTACTGCTGGTGAAGAGTTCTCGTGTAAAGGAAGAAATGGATATTTCGGAGACCCCGTCAACCCACACATCTATCACGAATGTTCTATTGGGCATCATAAAGCTACTTTAGAGTGTCCAAAAGGTGCGGTCTTTCGTGGAACCTTTTGCACATGGAACAGAAAATAGCATTTCTATGATAAGCTCAGTCCATATAGGCGGCATCTATCCCAATACTACTTTTTGAATATCATTGCACGAACTTTGATTTGTACCAAATTTGAAAATTTTCTACCAGTCAATTTTCTAACTCTTTTTCTTGTCACACGTGGACGCTGTTAGTTGTATTGTCACAACAAGACGATTAACGATATATTTTTGTTTTGGTAATAGAAAACACTGACTGACTGTGTCACTCGGTAAATAGCAATTTTTGGATGTGAATTTTTTTTTATCTATCAATATTATCGTTGAATCTTTACCGCTCGACAACTGCCATAGTTGCGTTTGCTTGCGTTGACTTGGATTTCTATATTGTTGTATTATTGGTTCCGCTGTTTTGAAAATATGACATCACAAAAATAAATATTTGCTTCAACGAACTGAATTTATGTATTGTATAAGTGATGATGTCATAATCGGAGTGCATGTAAGTGACTGATTAGTCGACATTTTTTTTCAAATTAAATGTTCTCTGCACCTTTCCCCAGTATTTTACTTCTTATTCCACATTTTATAGCTTTGTGAATATTTAATCGTATATCTCACTAATATCCGAAATATAATAATTTATACTCTGGTTGGAATGACTATAGATAGCATGTTATAAAACCTGAGTGCGTTCGATGATTCGAGGAATTGCAACTGAAATGGTACCGAAATTGTTGCGAATACATCAGTTTGCTGAGAAGTGTACTTTTGCCTAAAACATTACACTGTCCGAATATTCACTTTGATGCTGAGGCCAGCGTCGGAAAAAATGCATTAAAATTGACAAGGTTTAAATACTCCAAACCTGGACGTGTGTTTTTGGTTTCTTTGTACTTTCACTTTGAAGATTTATTTAGTATAACTGGAATTGACACTTGTCACCGTTAGAAAGATATGGTTATGAATTTCAACATAATTTTAGAATATACGCTGAGCATATGCCAACCCGTTATTATCTTTAGGGTGTGAATATACGCGGAAAAGGTCGGATCTGAAACAGGTTTGCTATTTTAACTAGGGATCACCAAAATATCAAGTTGGAAATTTGGTAGTACAGAACCCTGGTCCAGACATGGCAAATATTTTAGGAATATCAAATGGAACAGAGACATTCACGGTATTTGTATAGGGTGCATACAGTACCTGTGCATGGGTCAGATTACTGCTGGACGAAAGGCTATTGACCTGTAAGTTTATTGACTTTCTGCACTTATCGGAAAGTAAACAGCTTTGGGTTGTTGAGTCCTTTGATTCACTAATAGCATTATATTTTCGAACTGTATTTATTTAACTTAATCTATTGTCTTGTTCGTCCGTGTGGTGCAAAAGAAACGATGAGCTTTGAAATGTGTTTTAATTCAAGTGTTCAAATATCATAAAATAATAATCAGTCAGAAAGCAATAATGGTATTTTTGAATAAATTATTCCTATGAAATTTTGATATCATATTGGCAGCTCTACTGCATGTATATATAAATAGTGCCTAAGATCATTGCGTGCGTCAAATTTTTACCAAAATCGAATTGGTTATACACTGATTTATCAGACTTCAATACATGACATTTAAAACCACTAATGACCATTTATTTCGAGTAACAGAACTTGATATAAAATGTTTTCAGGATTTCGAGGCACATAGAAAATAAACGTTACAGAAAATTTTGAACTAGAAGTTATGTTGAAATTAAGCGAGTTTAAAACTAGCATCTGTCTGACCACCGGACCATCGAGACTCCTTTCAATGTGAGAGTCTCCTTCAATTTGCCATCTTCGATTTCTGATATTTGAGAGAAATTCTCTCCTTTCAAGACAATCTTTTCTCCATCCTTAGTGCAAGTTGCCTGTAAATTTAAAAATGAGCAAGATTGGAGTATTCATTTTACTAAGATATTGTCAGAATATGGAATTATAGAATATTCCTGTGATAGTTTGTTTTCGGAATTAAATTAAGAATCTTATATGTTGCCTTTTTTCCAAATTCTTTTGATTCAATTATACCAGTATCTCAATTATACGTACCGGTATTAGGATTACATAGGGCGGTAATTAATAACAGCCATATATATAGGAAAGCTCAGAGATGTCAGAAAACAAACGAAAACTAGACTCTGAAAACAGAGGTTTTTTGGATAAATTGCAGTGTTTGTATTTCTGAATTAATTATAATATTTTCCAAAAGAAGCATTAGAAGAAAATTATCAAATTGCAACTAGAATCCGGTTTATGCTCATCGTGAGCTAAGGAAATATCAAACTGAAAGTAAATTTACTGGCCATACTCAGCATTCGTCTAAGCATCTATTATACCTTTGCGTTTCTGCCATCAGGGAAATTGAAGTCGTTTGGTACTCCCAGTTGAAAAGTATTCGAAACTGTTTGATTCGGATAAATTCTTTTCACGGTGATGTTGTCACCATCTTGTGTGACTTCAGTTTCCAATGTTGTCTCACTGCCTCGTTTAATCTGCTCATCGGTTGCTCCTATTGTGTAAAAATGATTTCATTCAACCACCAATAATATCGAAATGACCCAAACAATGATATATTTTTTTTAATTTGACTATTATATATGTACTACGATGATATGATAAAACTTATCTCACCACTAGCACCAGCAAACTTCTCATAGTTGTCTCTTTTAACCATCTTGAATTTTCCGCTGAGAGACATTTTGTTCTAAAAAACAAACGAGAACTCATCGTAATGGGAATTTAGACATGTTAGGTTCATCCATTACCACCCTGTGATGAACGTTAGCAAAACTATTTTTTAATCTCGATACCCCCTCGTAATATTGAATGTTGTATTCTCGCATAGTGTTAAATAACGCCCGATTTTGAATTTTCTCAAATCTTACTATTGCTGAAAAACCCATGAAGTTTTCTCTGGTCGTATCTGCTGTACTCATTTGTTCAACAAATTTTTTTATCTAAAAATGTTATAATTTGACTTACCTGATGGGGTTTAACGTAACGGTTTATGGACGAGAAGACAGTTTTACACGTTGTTCAGTCAGTGCCGAAGTGATGCCAGGTCAGCAACTACTGCCGATATTTATGCTCTCGGATTATTATGATGAACAAACATCATATAATATCACATCATATAGAATACAAAGGCAGATGGCCGCCTACATAAAAACTGTCGTTATCGATTGTTTGGTTTTCAGCTGAATTCACAGCGATAAAAAAATCACCTTTGAAATCGGGTGTAGCATATGTTCTATTATACAATGGCCATCACAAAAACAGTTTCGATAAACTTGCTTTACGTAACGTCCATGTATGATGACTATATAAATATAAAAATCGTATAATCACGAAATATTTTCATTAAATATATCATGATGTCGGAATCTACAAATGTACGGAAGTCAAATATTTACCTGGCTTTAATAGAATGAATTTTGTTCCTATCTACATTTAACCAATTTTGGGATTTTATGTAAAACGACCTCGAGGACGAAAATTCGAATAATATATGTCGTACAGCACGTATGATGCATTTTTAATTTTACACAATGTATCTTTGTCAATAGAATAATCTTCACCATTCTCTCCGTCTTGGCAATAGAAGTCAATTATTGTGAAGTATTAGCAACTGCAGTGTTGCAATGACTCGGCTACTAATTAACGATTCCTAATTTCTTGTTCATAATGGATGGAGTAGAAGTAATTTTAAGGGGAATTGCACATTTACGTGGTTGGATTATTAATAGATTGTAGAATAGAAATATTACAGCTCACCTCAAATTACTACGGATGTTCCTCGTTCCCATATTGTTTTCATGACAAACGTTCGACGCCGATTTGCCGACAGCCACATTAAACTCCACTGTGACATTTACTACGTAGAAGCCTATTAATCGACTAGTACATATTTTGAATTTTTTGGTGAAGTTCATCTTGACGATTTTCAGGCAAATTTTTATATTGCAGCAAATTTAATCAACCTTATAAATCTAATTTTCGCAATATTCAATTCTCTTCATTTTCCAACGTCGTTTAAAATACTCACAAACACTTTTCAGTCTTCAGGAAGACTCATAGCACATGCAATGGACAAGTACAAATGTGTATTGCTTCTGGACCAGGAAAAGACATGTTTGAGAGTACGAAAATTAGTCTATACACACTCAGAAAACCTGAAAGTCATTTGTACTCCCGAGTATTAACGAATATTATCAGAGCAAATTGGGCTCCCAAACATTTGAATGTGATATTTAATTTATTAATTTAATTCAATTCACTTTAATTTATAGATTTCAAGACAATACCTGTTCATCAGATCTTTGCGTTTCTATTTCCTACAAATATCCGACCATTGAAGAAGGCATGCATACATGTGTTGAAAACACATCGGATTTCTACCGGCTTCGCTTTATTTGTTACACACTATCCTTATTAGAATATTTTAAAAAGGGATACAGCTGTTTTAAATTTATATTTGCAAAAACTATCATAACACAATGGGAACTATTTTATGCCAAGTGTGTGTTACTAAATTCAGGAATATCACAACTGTTTTTCATGATAGAATTTTTATTATCAAATATGCAGTCTTTAGTATTTTTACGGGCTCGGTCGGGTGATGTCTAATTATGTGGTAGGTGGCCCTAAAATCACTTCACTTGTTACACCGTGGTAATTCGAAACGATAACAAATACTGAGAAGTGCGTCTTCATTGAAATATGGAAATAACAGTATACAATTTAAATGAATAGATTTGAAATTCGAAATTCTTTATGTTTACTTTAACCCTGCTAAAACGCTTAAAATAAACACTTTATTCATCTTTATCAATAATTCTTTTATTCTTTGACGGACGATCTAGTCATCGTCTTCCCATTGAATGTCAAAATTTCTTTCAAATTTCCATCAACAATCTCCGAAACACACGAAAAATTGTCGTTACTCATCACTAATTTGCTTCCTTGAAGAGTAACAGTCGCCTGAGAAAATTACATAATTATTTACAACATGACCTTCCTTCACTATAAAAAAAAAAAAGATAAAATTATGCTTAGTCAATTTTACTGTAAATCACCAAATAATAGCGGTTGGCCTGAGTTATCTTCAACCTATGCAACTCGAAAAATTTGTTTTACTTAGAATTAGGAATAAAACTATTCATTAGTTATTCATTGAACTGTGTTACCGGTTATCTCTACTTACGACTGCTCGTTTCCCTTCTAACAATGTCAATTTTGTCGGTACACCCAGTGTAAATTTGTTGACCGTAGTCTGGTGAGGAAAAATCCGTTTTACCGTATATTCCTCGCCGTCAACCGTTATTTCAGTTGTTGGTCGAGAGTTGCGACCTCTGGCAATCTGATCGTTTGATGCCCCTTGAATTTTATGGAAGACAAAATAAGAATAAGATAACATTATTTCTACGAAATAATACGATATAAATATCGTTTGAATTTTGTTCAATTCAACCCATTGGAACCCCATGTTTTTCTATATGAAAATGTGAAAAAAAAAATAAAAATCAGAATAAATTCATACCAATCGCTGTAGCTAATTCGTCATAATTTTCTCTTTTGTCAAGAACGAAGCTTCCAGCGAAAGACATTTCAATGATATCCAACCTAAAAGTTCATAAAATTTAGCACAGCTATAATAAGAATATGTTAGATCTTATTCAATCTATTCCTAAAATTAATTATAGAAATAACTTTTAATTCTAAATTTTTATCATAATATGATACAAATTAATATAAAAAAGATTGTACGAGTACCTTTACTATTATTCGAAATCAAGTACTGACCATCGGTTACTGATGTAACGAACAACAATAATCTTTTCCGCAGTATTTGCAGTTTCTGACCAATCGTAAAACAACAATCCGTTTCTTTAGTTACGAAAGACAATCTTCACATTTTTACGATCTACTTCGTGAGTTCTGTTTGATACTCTATGGGCGGTGTGTTAAATCGGATTTATCTTTACTGTTGGTTGTTAAAGCTTTGTGATGTCTCTCAACAAAGTCGCAACGTTCGGATTCTTGAAACTGCCAGTCTTATATTAGCTTGAAATAAAAATAAAGCGTAGTACGTGCTTGCGATAATAAAACATGGTTTTTGGGGCCATTTTGGTATGCAATCTTGCTTAACGTCATCTCAATCGCACCCCAAAGTGACACCTATAGTGGTTCCACTTTTGTATGCGTTTCATCTCATAAAGACATTCTCATAGAATTCAGTTCTTGACCCAATACAGATATAAAGTTATATAGTTCTATCGGCATTTCAAATTTCCCGTATTGTCAGTGTCTAAAGCGTAGTTCTTTACTTTCGCCAATTTTAAAATCATGGAGAAATACACATTGAATTCGAAATTATATACCCTTGAAATATGGATTTAGACGCATTTTAGACGTGTTACGGAGATGAGGCCGTAATAGATAGTGTCATCAATATTTTGAAATGCATTGAATTTGATTTTTGCGTTCCACACAAAATAACACACATTACCACTTATACACTCATGCAAGTTTTGATCTCAAAAAGCGTGGACGTTTAGCGTATGCTACAGACAGTTCGTTACCACTCTGGTCATTATAATATAAATTCCTTCTATACGTTATTTTTTAGAAGGGCAATATAAAATTAAAATCTTTAATGGTATGCTGACAAAAGCCAATGAACTACATCTTTGCCTATCCCCTTTTAGTTTTTAAAAATATTATGGACAATATACTGTTTATTCTGTGACATGTCTCACATGTATACATTAGAGACTCATATCTGACTGCGTGTGGTACTGTTGGGTAAGGCAATGATATCACATCGACAAATCTCATGTTATATCAATTTTAAATGCTGAGCAGATAAATAAATGACGTATTGTTTCTAATAATGACAATCTAGGACGAAATATGTCAATTTCCAAGTTCTTTCTGAAAGTTTCCTAAAATTCGTTGAAAAGACGCAAAAAAGATCAGTAATACATATTTTTATTTTTCATTAATGTCAAGCACGAAACACATTTTCAAGCAAAGTTTGCAAATTAACAATTTTATATTCAAAAGCAGAAAGTCACATAATCCATAACTGTTCAATACTTCTATAGTACAAAACGGGGTAGTTATGACTTCTAGGCATAAAGCTCTACACAGACAAAGAATTTGTTCTCTAGACATAAACCAAACAAGTAATATTTGTGATTAAAATAGCAAAAGTTATTCACAAATCATACTCTACCAGATATGATTAAAAAAATTACGATTCGTAACTAGGTTGATAATCGAATTTGTGCTCAAAACGATTGGTAAAAGGACACTTGGATTACTGTTTCTTTGATATTCTCTTCATTGTCTTCCCGTTGAAGGTTATGGTTTCCACCAAGTTTGAACCATCAAGTTCTGTCACAGATTTGAAATTTGCATTTTGCGTGACAAGTTTCCCACCCTCGAGAGTTGTAGTTGCCTGGTTAAATGTTTCAAATGTAATTCCTTTATTAGTATGTGTGGATGTTACAGGTAAATGTTTTCCCATAACTTTATAAAATAAATATACTAGTTGTTCGTGTAGTTGGTACAAGTCAATTGTAAATACTCAAATGCAGTTACTCGGCAAAATCTCGTGGGGTAAAAATATTGCAGTAATCTAGAGAAAAACATTACCGTTGCTTTTCTGCCCTCAACCAGAGTAAGTTCTGTTGGAACTCCCAGGGTGAAGGAATTAGTCGTAGTTTGGTTTGGAAATTTACGTGTCACCGTGTAGGAGTCTCCGTTCACTGAGATTTCAGTCGTAGGGAACACTTTGCTCCCTTTGGCAATCTGATCTGCGGTTGCGCCTAGTTCATGAAAAATTAAATATTCAATATTAGTAAAGATATTAGTTATTTTACATTTAGAGTTGTTCACTTGATATGTAAACTATGAAACCGATTTTACATTTTATTCTCAAGCTGAAGTACATTTTTAACGGCGTTTTATATCGCGCTTTTCATTGAAGGTATGTATATATATAAATGGTGGGTAGCAAAATATACAAATTTGCAATGGTTATAAAGACACATATTATGGAGAAAAGAAATAAATATGTTCACACATAATTTTAACATTCTCTCATAATAATGCTTTAGGCAAGTATCTTAATGGGCACGATATTTATAATGATCAAAAACCTACTCAATTTCCCAAACTTCGGATGAGATATACAAAAAGAGGTACTACTCACTTACTGAAGTTGTATAAAATAATAAAGAAAGAAGTTTTTTCATGTACATACCGCTTGCTTGAGCGAACTCATCGTAGTTTTCCCTTTTTTCAAGAATGTAACTTCCAGCAAATGCCATGATGTAGTTTTGACTGAAAATAAAGATTCAATGATGGTAATCAGTAGTATTTATACATATTTATTTTAAAATCTTATTGTTTGTATGTACCTACATTCAATATAGGGTGTCAGCAAACCTTCTAACAACTCTTATTGGAAGGCATACGGCATTTTCAGAAAACACTGATAATATTACTTGAAAATGGTTTGCTTGCAAATTTTGAACGCATTCACAATGATTGTTCGTATCAATTTTTCTAATGACGTTTGAAGATTTTGTATATTATTTCCTTGCAAGCCTACCTCTTAATTTGTGGTTCAAATAATTTACATACTAAAATAATCGAACACTTGACTTAAAATGTTTTTCAACAGATAACTTTTCATTCAAACGTGCTAAGGTGCCGTTAAATGGTGTAAAATATCTCGTTTTATATAAATTGGTGCGGGGCGTATACAACGTACGGCACAGGTAAATTATTATTCTATTCAAACTAATTAAATATCTTACCTTTCAGACGGTCTTGACAATATACAATATCTGTTGACGAGACGTTGGAGAATGATTTTTACGGACTATTCCTTCTCATTTTATACATTTTTAACGATAATAAAATGTTATTTTTTCTAATTACAAAGCGATTTCATTCTATTTTACGACCTATTTTAATTGCAGAATTTTTATTCGTAAAATGATTACATCACGATTGTAAAACTATCATGGATGGTCGTGAAATAATTGAATAAATATGATATTTCCTGATATTTGTTTTTCTTTCTTTTTCGTCAAGTTCGAAAAATTTTATTGGCACAAAGAGAATGTTTAAGAGGTAAGTCGTGTTAGACGGTGAAGGCATGTCTTGAAAATTCTAACTTTCAATTTCATTACGTCACACAAACTAATGGTACACTTACATAGCCATTCCGATTTCATTCTTTAAAAATTATTCAAGCATCTGAAAGTACACAGCATATATACAATACTGTACACATCCTATCACATGCCGGTGATATTAACAGAAGAACATTTCGCGTTAACGTGGCACCTAAAATATTCAAATGGAATTTTCTGAGATGCAATGCATTGAGGAAATACATCTATTCTATTCGAGAGATGTATCACTGCTTGATTTTTATTAAAAAAAGTATTATTCGTTCGGTTTTCAACTTTCTAAAAATATGTGCGGCCCGTCAATGACTTGCAACCCTTAATTTTGGTCCGCGAGCGACAAAAGGTTGCCGACCCCTGATTTAGGACATGAAGATATCATCTTCGAAGTCGCAGTATCAATTTTTGGAAGGAATTAAATAAAATGTTCGCAGCGACTGGCGTGTGTTTATTGGTCGTGCCTATCTCATCGTGAAACGGGCATTACGACGACACGTTTTCTGATAATATTAGAGCTTTCAGCTTTGTAAATTAAATCTCATCATCGTACATCACAAAGTGGAGTCATGCTTTAGGGTCTCTCCCTACCGCATTCTAGTAAAATATCGTCTCACACGGCTGCGCAATGCGTAAAATCATGCTAAAATGCTGTCTGCATTCACCTATTATTACTTCCTATCAAAATTGCAATGTAGTATTGAGTCACCCCTCTCAACGAAACCCTGAGTATGACAGTGGTAGCAGCTAAACTAAATATAAAAATATGCAGCTGAAATGATAGAATATCTTATTCGCTTTATGATGTAGAATTAATCGATTTTTAGGCAGTGATTCATATCCGCTTTATTTGCAATTATAAGAAACTTGAACATGTAAAAGTATTTTCAAATTTTTTTATAGGACAATTATTAAAATTAATGAAATGCCTAGGAAGTTCTAAAAAGTACCTTTAGTGAGTCAAAAGTAAATATGTTTTAAAATTAGCACACCCTCTACCAAATAAAACTACTAATTACCATGTTTTATCAAGTATTGTATTAAGTGATAATTTCAATCTTTTCAAATTTGACGAAGCAATTTTGAATTTTTAAAAAAGAAATATTCCACATGCAATTTTTGTAAGTTATATATACTTTGCCTCTTTTTATTTTGTTGAAAATTAAACGTTTTAAGATAATTTATCAATTATACATATTTTGAATATATATCAATTGTTGATTTTCTATGCTTTTGTCGACCATCTTGTCATCGTCTTCCCGTTAAACGTCAAGGTTTCCTTCAATTTCCCTCCTTCGATTTCAGCCACGGAGGAAAATTTGTCACCTTTCATAACCAATTTTCCACCTTCCAATGTAACGGTAGCCTGAAAATAACACATGTATATGTAATATATCTAGGTACATAAACTGCACCATGAAAAAATACAGGTCACTTCGGTTTTATTATGCTTAGGCGCCGCAATTTGCAATAGAATAATATTTTCTCTCATTGACGAGCATGGCCCAATCAGATTTTTTTGCATTCAAGTCTACATATACAAAATTCACAAAAATAAACAATTTTTTTTACGTCATCAACTGAGTTCATCAAATGAAATCCATAAAATCTGGCTTATGTATGAAATATTTCTAACCGCGTTGACTTGTTTCAAGCTTACAGTGACTGCAGCTGTTTTAAAAACTTTTGTGGTGATATTTTGCAACACTCGAAGTTTAAATGATACTTCATATGTCGTCCATGTAAACTGATATTGAAACATATTATCTATAATTTTTTGTAAGTCCCATTTGTAAGATTTTTAAAGCGGAATGACTAGTATATTCTTTTTTTCAATTTATATTATTTATGGTAGTTTTTGAATCGAAAAGGATTGGGAGTACGAAAAGTCCTTTTCGAGACAAATTAGAATTATACTAACCGTCGCTTTCTTTCCCTCAACAAAAGATAATTCAGTAGGAACGCCTAACTTGAAAGAGTTAGTGATTGTCTGATTGGGGAAGATTCTTTTCACAGTGTAGTTGTCTCCATTATTTGAGATTTCAGTGGTTGGATGCACGCTTTTTCCTCTCTGAATCTGTTCTGGTGATGCTCCTATAACGATATATTGCATTATTTGGGTATGTTTGTAGCAGTGAATATTTTTAACCAAATATGGCTCACATTTTTCCGACGTTACTTTTAAGTAAGTGAATGTTTTTCATTCTTGGTAAGTTTTTATGGTATTGATTTTAGCAAGCATTTTTATCCAATAAACATTACATCTAATTTATATTTAAAATAGCAAAATGAAAATTGAAAATTTACCACTTGCAGCAGCAAATTCGTCGTAATTGTTTCTACTTTCAAGAACAAATTTTCCGCCGAAAGACATTTTGTAGTTTTATCTGAAATCAATTTGATTGAAATTAGACATTAGCATTTGGGTTTTTTGCCTAGTCGGCAATTTGACCCAATACGCGGCTTTAATTATAGCAAGGATGAAAAACTAATTGATTGCTCACCTGTATATTAGCAATTAAAACTAAGGATAGATGGTCTATAAAGACTTTCTTCTAGCCGAAACTTTCAAGTAGACGATGGAATGATAACGATGGATTTTCTAATTTATATTTTCTACAACATACCGCATCATGTTCCTTTTTACATTTATCGAATATACATTCTTGGTTAACATTTTTAGACTTATAAGCTTGAGCTCATGATGTACCTCGTAATTACACTTTGTTCATTGGTAACCTAAGCTTGTTGTGACATAATTTATTTTGCGTATAGTAGTCTGAATTTCGGTAAATATGTTATTTTAGATGTTTTACAAATGTAACAAGAAAATTCATGTCAACTTCCAAAATATAAAATAAGTGTATTTACATAACTTATGGTTATGGAACAACCTGATTTGAACGTTGCACCTCTAAATGCATGTACGTTAACTTACATTTACAAGACGGATTATGTTCACCTCTTAATAAGGCATGGTGATGCACATGAGTGATAGCTTAAAACGGGAGTAAAAACAGCAAGACGACAAAAATAGATGATAATAAATCGGTTTAATTTTTTCCCCGAAGTTACGACTAAAATAGGTTGTTTAATAATAGAAGAGATTTATTAAATATCTGTCGGATAGGAAACATCACAGCTGCTTAGCTGTCTTTTGTTTCGTACAGATCATACCTGGACCTAATTTACGCGAATAACCAAAAGATCGAATAGAGTGGAAATTTCCACTCAACCAAACCTTCTTCCGAAATTTGTAACACGCCCCAAAACGCCCCTTTTTAGATGAATGAAAAACTAAGCGACCGATAGGTTTTCCGAAAATTTGACAATTTAAGTTTTACTGCCCGGCCGTTCAAACTTTCAAAGCGACGCCGTGAATTTAACGAGAGAAATAACATTAGTTGAATCAATAGAAAATAAAAATTATGATAGCGAAGTAAGGGTGGAAGCAGCGTTTCTGAGCAAAGTCAAAATCCATCCATATATGGCCCATACATGAATTTTTTGCGAATGCAGAATTCATGCATGGCGATCCAAGTAAAAACTACAATGAGTTGCTGGGATACGCACGTATGAAATAACTAGCCAAGTCAACTAGTGTTAACTTTCTAGGCAAATTTTGAATCACACGAAAAATGTTTCTGTATTTTTCCACTCAATTTGTTCTAGATGTCATTTGCTGAAGGTACTTACTTTACTGTGTAGTACAAAATAAAATCTTGTTTGTGTTCTATCGACGCTCGTAGAATTTAGCTTTACGACCGTAAGTATTTACAAACCTAAAGTAAATACTATCCGTAGATATTATTACTTTCAACTTATTTAACCGGTAAGTTGAAGATATGACACGGATGGCGTGTCCCGCATGCCGATGTTTGCCTCCATTTCAGTATATTATGGTGAAGTAGAATTGCGTACTCCCTCGTTGTAGAAGACATGAACCTTTTCCGAAAAATTGAGCATTTTTCAAGAATATTCAAATAATACTAATTCTGCGTGCCTTGGCTATATTAGTTTATTTTGAATCGATTTTATAATTCATGAGCTATATTTGATTATTTAGTATAAATCGTTAGTGGATTTCCTGGGTTCCAAGAAATTCCGTTCGATATTTATTCTCACTTGATAAAAAAAGTAGCGCAATTCGAATCATCAACACAATTATTATTCTGAGTTTAACTGATAACGTTTCAACTTTTTGCTTCGGCGTACGTGCTTAATGATTATTGCCTTTGAATTTTACTCCCATATTTATTTATATTTCCCTAACTGATTGTAATACCATGGCAACATCTTTTAGTCAAGGTTTCAATACCATCGGAATGTTTTTATTAATTTCGAAATATTGCAGCATCGTTCGAATCAGACGCTGCTTTCCCTTTTTTAATGCGAATATAAATAATAACCTATTTCTGGGAAAAGAATTGGTTCGGTAGTTTATCAAAAAATATCGCTTGTTAAGTTCATTTATTAACGTTTTTCGGGATCGTAACAAGACTAGATCACAGTAAAGTTTTATTAGAAGAAATGTTCAATAGTTTCATTGTTCCTATAACGGCAACTAGCGCAGACAATCGTTAGTTTTGTTCATTCATTTACAATATACATATTGTAAACATTTTACAGCACCGGTCGTTGTTTTATATTTCTGTGTAATTTTGTTTTATTCTTTCGCTGTTGGAAATACACCAGTACTTTTGAATGTAATTATGCAGGAACAATGTAAATATTCACGTCTAACGGAGGAAATTAAGTCGAAATGTAATTTGAAATAATAAGCTTATCATTTGACGACATATTCTGCTATGTTTTCACCTCAGTTGCTGATAAAACTTGCGAACCGCATATAAAAATGAATATACAGATATATATCTATATACAGATATATATATATATATATTAGATATCTAAACTGAACAGCGTTCCCGTCATAATGCTTTGTAGTATTATAAACCTGACAACAGTTTGAGACTTGAAAGAAAGTCATGCCCACATATGAAATAATATTGTTTTTTGAAGCTCTGAGATTGCTCAGAACATGGATTGACCAAATCAGTTAACGAGTATTTATTTATTATCTTGAGAATGCTTGCGCTTCCTCCCACAAATAGATTTGTTAGAATGAAAAATTCTAAAAGCAGAGCCCGAATTTCAACACTGCGGTTTGGTCAACTGGATCGTTAATTTTCAGTGTCAGATAAATGGAGTGATAATTGATTCTATAGTAAAGATTTACCAAACATACTGACATTCGAAAATATCATCATCTTTTAAAATATAAATAAACGTTGGAATACCGACATAGTCGCAGTAATTGTAACTTTGATTCTATCTTAGAATTGAGAAGGTCACCGGGTCAGATTCCCACTGGTTAACATTTTTCATATGTAGAAATAGAATGGGGTCAACGACATTCAGGATATCAAAAACTATTACATAATTCAGCAATGATCCACGTCGACATAAAATTTGTAACCTCAAACTATGTAGTTTTATATTAGCGACCGTGAGTTGTTGGTCGTTACTAAACCCCGCCAAAACTACAAAGAACTTTGTCAACGTCATGAGTTAAATGACTTTACACATCTATAATATTGCGCATCAGTTAAATTGTGTAAAATGTATTTTTAATGACGCAATTTTCATTGCTTTAGTTGTCTGCGGTACCCAACGATCACTTTTATAACTGAACTTAAACCAACATCGTTAATGTATTTTCCAGTAACCGATTGTGTAAGTCAGGAACATTGTGTTTAGTGTAACTGTAAACGATAGTACATTGAGTTATTTTTTTTACATTTAATAGCATTTAGTGAATTGCGGCCTCATTTGACCCAAAAGGACATTTTGAATAGCAATGTCGATAAGCAACAAGCAGTTATATCAAATAGATCTGTTACATCTGAGTAAGGCCAAGGAGACTATAGCATTGAAATCGAAGATTCCGAATCACTTTTTGTTTTGAAAAGTATAACATCATTGTTGAATTTTAGTATGCAAAAAAAGCACTATAGTAATCATTCCATCTCACGCGTAACGCAATTCAAATCCACTACCAACTCCAAATTACGGATAGATAGATGGCGCTAACGCAATAATGTTTGTGGTGGCACCTGGAAATATCCAAACGAATGAAGACATTGGATAAAACTAATATACATGCGTTGCTTTTCTCGTGATAATATATTGGTAAAAATTGTGCATTTTGCATGACTTTTGATTGTAGCCATTTTTGTCGCTATAACTCATCTCTATGCGAATAGCTCTCGTCTGCCTCTCATGGTGGACTTATTTTTTGTGACACCTTCAATGATTTTGGTGCCAACTTTCGAATGTCATCTTCAGTTAGATCAGGGGATGTGCAACCCTTAATGCAGAAGGGGCAGAAAGAAATAACTGAGTGAAACCGCAGGCCGCACTTTTATTTGTTTATACCACAGGCTTTCTAGTAGTTCTAGTAACACAGTTCTAGTAGCACAAAAAGTTTGATTATTGGTCTTGTGAAATGCGTTGTTTGCACAAGCTGTCTGAAGCAGGGGTTCTCAAACTTTTGGTGTTGCGGAGTCCTTGGGAAGGTTGACTATTATTCACGGAGCCCCAAAATAAATGTTAAAGTTGTTACTTTCAGATTAATATTCCTGAGCAAGTTAAAAGTACTTTACTTAATTTAAATGCTGAACCTTAGGGTTAATACAAGTCATACATAAATCTAAATTTCAAACATAAATTATATATACACTAAAGCTGTAAATTTCACACTTGACAAACATATTAATAAATAAGGGGTCGAATCTTTTCCCTTTTGACATTTTTGGAAGACTTAAAAGGCCGCTAATAACGTGCGCAATTGCATTTTGTTACAATCGCCGATTTTTTTCGTCAGCATGGTGTGTCTTTGAACCTTTTAACATCTTTACGCCGGTGTTTATTCTCCCTAAATCAAAAATTTCCCTCGGCATATATATAAATGTATAGTTACACAATGACGACGTTATTCGCTTTTTTGTTCTCGTGGGGAATTATGAGTTCAATGTGAAAAACATGTTACCATATTATAGTCATCGTTACGAAATGCTAAAAATAATAATTAATAAAGAGATAAATCCGCAACTCAAATTTCTTGATTGAAAAGCGGCATTCTAAAATAATAAAACTAAAACTTAAAATGGAAGATCACAGGTTTGGTTTCAGCAGACTCACCTCAGATTGAAAACGTATTTATAGACATTGTAAATCACAAAAATTGGTGTTATGTTAGGTTTTCATCGTAGTAACTGCGAAATCGAAACAGAGTCAATTGTGCGCGCGATGTACCTTTTCCCCCATTATGAAACTACCGACGGAGCCGCACGCAATCAATTGTGCGCGCTCCGCGATGTACCTTTTTTTTCATTCTGAAACTACCGACGGAGCCGAATGCAATAAAATAAATTTCAATTGTTCGTTAAATGCTCGCATCGGTCATGGATTAAATATTTTACGCAATAGAAATCTCGTTATCCGTTTTTTTTTAATCGCGAAGAATGTTGGGCGGAAATTTCCGATTCCAATTTTGAACCACCACCCTCTTAAGAATCCTGGCTGCGCTCCTGCTTATAAATAATGTCATTTTTTAATTCCGCCTCTTTGCCATATTTCGAGG